CCATCTGAAAGTCGCAGTACAGCTTTCTAGAATAAATATGAGATATAAAAAGGCTCAATATTTTAACAAGCTGTTAATTTAAAAAAAAAACATATAGAACTAAATAACTCACACCAACACCCAATCTAAGAAAATAGAAACTCAAAAAAGTGTCTAAATGGAACATCGTTTAATGCAATAATATTTTTTCAGCCGTTGTGAGATGACAGTTTTTGCCGACACACATAATTCTTATCATCATTTAGTTGTAAAAGTGATGATATCCTGGAGGTAAAGAATTTTGGGAGAAAGGAAATCAATTTAAAGCAATCAATGGAACATATGTAGAAAAAAGATACCAAAAACTTAAAGGTATATTCTAAAAAATCAATACTGTTATCTATATTTACTTATTCCTTTGGGAGTGTCATCCCAAACGGTTTCACCATTGAAACGCACTAAAAAAAGATCCGGGTTGAAAGAAATTTCAGTTAACTGGGAATAAATATACAATTGAAATGATGGACGATACTCTCTCTAAGGCGACATTTGCATTGCACATTTTCCATTGTGCATAGGTTATTATCTGTAAGGATGTGTATTTACTATTATTAAATGATATGAGCAAATCAGCCCTAATACGGATAAATCAGTATGTGCAATACTGATGACGTTGACCTGTCAATATAAATCAAGAATTAATATTGCTTTTCGGACCGGTCCAATACGGAAAACCACGTTCACTTCCGGTTTCAATTTTCTTACGCTCAAGCTTACTTAACTTTGGATGTATCGTTATGCATACAATACATATTTTTTAACTTAAACATGTTAAAGTAACATACAAAAACGTTTAAATGATGTTCCGTGTTTTCCGTGTTTTGCAACGTCTTGAAACGGAAATATTTCACAGCCTTTTCGAGTAAAACTTTCGATTATTATCACTGTTTCATTTCCGTTGATCAACCATCATCAAAACGCAGACGATTCAAGAGTAATAATGGTTAAACTGTCTGATTTATTCTTCCCAGCTACTTTATATTTGCTAGATAAGATGAATTGTTATAGCATAAAATTAAGTACTTGGACGAGAAATCATGAATTACATCAATGTCGATAAAAAAATCCATCGTGGCTGCGAAAAGACAAGTTCAGATATGATTATTTGTATCTTCTTCACGGTAAGTTTCTTATTTTAATCAAAGAATTAAAATCATTTAATAAAAGAGTAATGAACTGGCTGTTTCTGTATTGGCCCTGTTATAGATTCTCGATCTGCTGTATTGGCCCTCGACTCTTCGAGTCTCGGGTCCAATACAGCTAACCTCGAATCTATAACAGGGCCAATACAGAAACAGCCAGTTCATAACACTATATTAGGAAATGGTACAGTGAGTTCTACATTTGTATCTGTTTATATTATTACCATTTTCATGATTATCCACCACGAAATGCCAATCATCTTTAGTTGTTTTAGTCCTCCGTATTGGTATGTGTTTACTTCCTGTCTAGTATGACTTATTTGACCTTGAAATATCACCAATTCAGTCTCATGTTATGCCATTTAATTACCTTTTAAGTGTCTTTTTTTTGTGCAATATTTTCCCCAATATTTACATTTCTCTACTATTCTTTACTTTTTCATCCGTGATATATTATTTATATATCTGATTCTTACTTTTTATTTTGTAAACATTTCAGCACTGCGTTCTGCATAATTAGCTGACATCTTTAACACTGTGTGTGATTTTGGTAAATTAAAGTCTGCTTTTATTCTGTTTTATAAACCGTTACTATTCTTTAAATCGACCAACGTTCCTATGGTGCTTAAACATGTACTGAATTCTTGAAAGCAATGTTTTGTTTCATTTATCTAGGACATCCGCTGCTTTGTTTTGTCAATTCTGATGCTTTACCTCTTGATATTTAAAAAAAAAACTCTTTCTTTCTGAAACGATTTATAGATTTGTACTGTTTATTTTTTGACATATCCATGTCTAATAGTTTTAACTTTAGTTCTTGGTTTGGGGTTGAGTAACATGTTTCTTTATTCTTTTCCTTGTTTTTCTAGTAAATAATGATATACTTTTTATATTCAGTGTTAAACTTTGTGCTTTCCTTTTATTCTTTTAATATTTGTGTAATTTTTATTTAATATTTCTTTTACTCTGTGAGGAGTCTAATGACTAAAATAAGAGCTTGAAATCATGTTAGACATTTTAAATGATTAGCATGTTCAATTGATAATTTGAACACATGTGCCAACTTTTAATGTATAAGTATAATAAGATTGAGTTAAGCATTGTATTTGTTTCTTGCATTCTCTCCGTAAGTTAAAAGAAATACATAGTTTATACAGTGGTATTCTCTAAAGTGTCTCATATAGCTTTATACGTACATGGAATTTACACAAACCTTAATTACAAAACACCAGAAAATCAATCAACACATCCGTCGTAAAGGATCTTCGTGCGTGATGACGAAAACAAAACACAAATTCAGTTAAAAGGTTTTTTTTTTATTAACAACAGATACCAAACAGATGAACTCGGGAGACACACTAATTACGCCTGCTTATTGTACCATTGTATAACTTTTCGTTACAAAGCTGACGCCTTGCTATAACTTAACAGATTAAAACAGATCTAACTGGCTTTTATGATGAAAATATAAAAAAAAAAAAAAAAATAGTACAACTATTCCAACCCTGGTTAATTTTGGCAAAAAACTTATAGCTTGTGAATTATACAGTACTTTTTTTCAATGTTTTACATAAGATACTTCAATGATTCGATTTATGATGCATCCCTGAACTTGCTTACTATTGTTTAAATAGAAAGAAAAACGGAGAGGGTATACATTCTTAATTTTCTAAATAGAGATTGCTTTATCTATATATAACATTATACATATTTATTATAAAGTTAAATCCAAACTATCCTACTGCTGTCGATACTTTTATTTTGGCATTGCGCAAGTCATGTCTTCTTTGACTGTCCATGGCATTAAAACACTAAATCCCTGGGATGTGTTAAAGTTGATTTTAGTCTCTGATGCATGATTTTTTTTATTGTTAATTGATTTTGGCTTTTAACTAGCTTTCAGTAACTGCAAGTACTTTCAAATCTTACTTGCGTGTTAATTTGACCTGTTACTGTAATGTAATGCATTTTTGTTTTTCAATGTTTACTTTTTTTTTAGTTATTTCTCGTCTCACTATTTTTAATATATACCACCTTTGATACATATTTAGTATGACGATAAATTTTCACTGCTGTTCTCGTACTATGAACAACAAATTTATCTTTTTTGTAAAAAATATCTCCGTACTCCTTACAACATGTACAACATAATTATTGTATTTAAATCTACCTGTGTACGTTATTTCATTTGACGCCATTTTTTCCAAGGTTAAGTTGTCTTTTTGCCATTGTGTCATAGATCAAATTTATTCGTTCAGTGTATGTTTACTGGTTTTTGTTAATATGTATTTTTGATTGAGTTAACCCATTTCAATTGATATTTTATAGTGTGTCTTTCTATGTTGTAATTTTACACCACTATTCCAGGTAAGGATGAAAGTTGGCGCCTGTTAAAACGTTTAAACCCGCTGCATTTGTTTGCACCTGTCCTAATACAGGAACCTGTTTCAGTGGTTGTCGTTTGTTGATGTGGTTCTTAAGTGTTTCTCGTTTCTCGTTTTTTATATAGACTAGATCGTTGGTTTTCCTGTTTGAATTGTTTTTGTCATTTTGGGGCCCTTTATAGCTTGCTGTTCGGTGTGAGCCAAGGCCCCGTGTTGAAGGCCGTACTTTAACCTATAATTGTTTACGTTTTGCACATTGTGACTTGGATGGAGAGTTGTCTCATTGGAGCTCATACCACATCTTCTGATTTATATTAAGTCCCGATAACTGAAAATTGACGTGTCCTTTTGTTTAGAAATAATTGAATTTGACTCTAAATATAGAAAAGTTAAATACATTAATGCGCATGCAGCTATGTTTTTGACATACTCGGTAAGTAGGGAAAATTGTGTTTTGAAAGTTGACATTTGGTTTAGGTTTTACATGCTCTAAATGTAACCTCAACTTTGATAATTCAGTGGGTGTCATAACTTGGTGTTCTCATTTGCTTTGTTTGACGTGTTGTCACACTTGAAAGAAAAGACACCACATAAACTCATATTGACTTATATCTATAGACTGACAAACGGTTCGGTTAAGACTAACCTTAATGACAATAGGGATGATTTCAATTTTACTTTTTTGAACTTTCCTTTCCTAAATAGCAATATTCCATAAGCACATGTATATTGAGTGTTCATCTCCCAGATGATAGATTATTCCAGAGGTTGCATTTCCTAAATTTTGGAGAGATTCGTTTTTGATCAGTCTTTAGTTTTGATATGTATTGTTTTATGGATGTTGTGAATGTCTTCTAGGAATTTTCCGCCTCTTTTTCGTCATGTTAATGGATTTTGCTCTTTGATGAAGGCCGTACTTTGACCTAGAGTTGCTTGCATCTTCATTAATTTGACTCTGGGGGATAGTTTTCTCTTTGACAATAGCACCATATCTTTTTTTAATATTTAAGTTCGTGTCCATGTCATTTTTCATAGACAAATATATTGATAGTGCATTGGTTGATCATTACACGTCCCAAACCTGCATAAAATTCCAATGCATCCATAAACAAATTTACAGTATGCATTTTATTAAGCCTAAGAAACAAATGTTTCAAGCGAAAAATGTATTGTACATCAAGTCATAATATATAAAAGAACGTGATACTTTTTGATCTGGTTTCTTATTTAATGTCATATGCTTTAGGAAATTATCATTTTAATTGACTGATCTTACAGCATGTTTTAATAAAATTTTAATCGATCAATTAAAGAAAGAGATATAGAGACAATATTAGAGAGCAATAGCTAACAAACAAGGATTATCTTTTCACATTTCTACAACACAATGCACATAGATTACAGTTTATCTTGTTACATGTAACGCTAATACAACTTGGGCATGATAACAATCTTTATTTTACTTAAAACTTGCAAGTGATTACATTTAAACGGCATTTTTTGTAACACTGCTCAAATGGTCATAATATTTATAGATAAATATGTTCCAATTTTTCTGGGAAATCACTGTATTTGCAGTTGGCAGTCTTATAATGTGTACCTTGGGTAATTTCTTAAGGATTTGATTTGTTTTCACATTTTAATTGTAAATCATTGTGTCTAGCAATTGTATTGTTCTGTTTTGGTTCATCGAAAACTGCAGATTCTATCCTAGAGTAGAAATTTTCGTCGTCTTCTGTGTTATCATCGAGTTGCTTATTTTCTTTGTGGAGTATTTCTAGGGAATTAGTGTCGCCTTTAAAATCAATTTCATTATAACACTGATTTGAAAAATTATTTCTTGGTTCATCGACAAATACAGATGCTATTCTACAATATGTATTTTCGTCTTCAACTGGCTTGTCACCAAGTGACATATTCCCTGTTAAAGGTATTGGTAACGGCCTATCACCTTTTCTTACTCTAGCTGCAGGGCCGTCTGCATTGGTTTCTGTTGTAAATTCATTCGTTGTTTTATCTAGATTTCGACTTTTGCTCTGATAGGCTTTAGAATCGATTCTGCAATATATTGATAAAAGAATGTATTATCTGACGATATTTACAATGGAGATAGTCATAGCACAAACGACATATTGAAACTCTGACCATCAACATATGACGTGTACATGAATGAAATGCATATCAATTAGTAAACAACAGTATGCATACATTGGTTTTTTTGACAGAACAATGCCATAACAGCGACTCTTGTGTGTGTCCGTTCGATATATTTTTTAAGTCTTGTTATATTTATGGCGTTTGAATTTACATAATATTTCAATAATTAACCATTTTCATACGATATCTAAATATGCAAATGTAAGGAAAAATATATATTCCATTCTAATACAGTGCTAGGATTCGTATTATAGACAATAAGGTTTTCTTTGTTTATATTTTAACAAAACAATTACCATAGGTGACTTTTTATTTTTTTACGTGTACCGCAAATTGCATTATGGATAATAAGCTCCAAGGAACACAACCACGGTGTCATGATATATATTTTCTGATAAAGATTATTTGATGTTTACTCAGTATACATATGCATTTAATTATTGCTGTTAGATGATGAAGTTCAGAATGATTCATTTTGTGATTGTTCCAACATTTTATATTTATATTGTGTATACACATACCTTCGTTTGTACAAGAGAAGTCCTAATACAGATAAGGCAAATACGAGCAAAACTATTGCTACTGACCCAGCTATTACACCTTAATGTACACAAAATAAAGTTCAAATATTTATAACAATATACCTAAACAGTCTTTTCGTCAATTCCGTTTATAAATTAAGAAATATCAACAAATGTCGGTTCCAGCTCCCCAAGGTACAGTTGACTTTACACGAAAAAGGCAATTCTTTAAGGGTCTTTTTTGTCATATATTTTTTAACGTATTCAGGTATCTATAAGGCCAAGGTTTACAAATTATTAGGTGTGCTCGTTCCCAATGGATGTTAACAGAGAAAAAAACTTATAAGCAAACAATTTGTTAATGTTATTTCTATTTGACATCAAAAGAGATTATTACTGCCAATGACTGCTCCTTATTATATATGTAGAGTGGATTGAATATATTGGGCATTACAAATAAAAACATTTGGCTTTCAAACAAACATGGTATGTATTAATAGAATATTTATAAACATAACAGATAAACTCCCTTATACCGCGTCATCAAGTTTATATACACACATCTTTACTTTAGTTATAACTTACACAACTCGTTGTAAGGTGACATACCCCATGACGTTATTAAATATATTTGGATTTTATAAATTGAACAAAATTAAAATTATGTTTGAAGTATTAGATGATTCAATTGAACGTGTACAATAATAAATACCTAACAAATAGCATGTTTTATAATAATAGGACATATACATTAGTTGTTCTTTCTCTTACCATGACCTTTGAAACGTAAAAATACAATAATTTTATAAATGTTTACGCGTCAATTGCTTTGTTTTGACAACATGTATTGCTGTATGATATCAGAAGAGCGTTATCAATATGATAAGGTATTTATGTTCATTAGATGAAGTACTTCATATATCAATTTTCTTTTGATTTTACAGGATATTTCCTTTTAATTTTCGTTAACATATTCGCGTTGGCAATATCTTTTAAAAGGGAAATAAAATAATGTGTTAAACCAAAAGTTGAAATATCAAAATAAACTGTATGAATTGAATTTGACGTTTCCCGTTTGAAAGTTAGAAAAACAATTCATGAAATTCTACCTGTATTATCGTTGTCCTTTATCACTTCATCTGTTTGCATGTTGTCTGTTAAAAATTTAATTATGCATTGTGTTACTTTTTGCATAAACAATAATGTTAGACCAGTAAAATACTAAATTAAATCAAAGATTTGCAGTAAAAACGGACACAGTAACAAGTCATCGTATACGACAATGTCTACCGTATTATTGGCGATTACATAATTAACACTTAATTTACTAATTTCATTGAACTTGATATGAACTGTACCAATAAATATTAATAGGTGTATCACATGTAATTGGTTTATTTCTTGAAAAGCTTTGTCGTTATACGATAAGCAACGCTTACCATTCTTACAATAAAATGGAAAAACAACACCATTATTATCACAGGCATCATATATTTCGCTTTTTGCACTTTTGGTCAGTTTCAAACAACGATATGAGGGTAACAAAGTTGGCATATCTGAAAACAATTATACTGAAGTAAATATATCGTTCTATAATCATCATTTTAGATATATTAAATAGTAACTTAAAATTATTTATCGACTTCTTTTCACTCGAGATAATGCCTGCTTGGTCATAAAAATGGCATGGTGACTTGTACTTGTTCACATCTTTGTCATTTGTAATTTTTTGTTCTTAATGAGTTGACTCATTCGCAGTCATACCACATCTCTGCCTTTTCATATGATCACTTAACTAATATAGAAACATATATATCAAACATAGTAACCTTTTCAGTTGACTAGTGATCAACATGCACATACTGTAATAGTATTATCTACACGTCAATGATTTTAGGGTTTTTTTCATTTATTTTCGTTGTTACCAATTTTCGTTGATTGAGGAAAACATACACTTTCGTGGATTTGTCAAATTCTGCAGACAAGCCTATAAAAAATTTGTAATTTGTTCAATATTTAAATTCGTTGTCCAGCTGTACCAACGAAATGTACGAAAATTTGTATGCCACGAATGATATCACAGTTACTTTCACCACATTTAAATTCGTTGTTCACCTGTACCCACTAAATGTACGAAACTTAGTATCCCATGAATGAAATTGCTGTTACTTTCATCTATTAAATCTATACATACCATTGCGTTTCACTTGGTATGTATAATGGACCCTTGTACCACTTGTCCAGTGCTGCACAGTTTTCATTGTAACTGAACAATTGTCATTTTTATACCATTGTAAAAATGATGATTTTTCAGTGCAAAAACGAACTGCCTCTACATGAGTTTTATATATAGAATTCGAAGTGTTAACGTCATCTGTAAAATATATAACCGTTTCAAGTAAAAACAAAATGGAAGAACGAGAAACAACAATTATTAATATTAACTGAATTATACATATTTTACCACCACAGACCATTTTACACATTTTATTCGATCAAAATAGTAATAGAGCAAAGGCCTTACAATATATTAATGACTTGATCTTAACTTTGATAATTGGCCTTATTTTGAATTTTTGTTTGGATAAAATGCATGACTTTTGAAGTCTAAATACCTCTATTTGTAAGATGATTCCAGGTTCGAAAAAGTTTCCTTATGATATCTTCTATTTTACTTTCAAGTAATTATAAAAACTTCTCTCATAAATAACAAGGCTGAAGACTTTTTAAGAACTTAATTAGCTTTTCTGTCTTTTTAAGGGTTTATGTGTTCCGTAGCTCTATTTAAAATAACACTTACCACATTTAACAATGAATGGATATGTGCAATTCTCTGAGGTTAACTTGATTTTTTTATCAATGCAAGCTGCTGCCATGCATAAACATTTAGTATCATCGTTGCAAGAACTTCTAACAGTTGGTATTTTATCTGTGGATTAATCCGTAAAAACAAAGTTAAAGATACAAACACAAAATATTTACCTAAACACACTCTTTATGTTCCAGCAGCCTCTGAAACTGTGATAGCCGTTGGTTGATAGCTGCCTTAATAGTCTTTTTGAGTAATACAAATCAGGCCAAGGCCGTTAGTTTCCGATTTTTAATTAAGTCACATATTTTTTTAAGATCGGGGCGAGGGTTTTTCTCATTGTTAAAGTTCGTATGGTAACCTGTTGTTCACATCGTAAGTCAATATAATAGTGACTAGATATGGTATAGTTCCCAATGACACAGGTCGCTTAACAACCTTCAGCAATGAGCAAAACTGTAAGGCATATATTTGTCAAATTCAATTGCAAACTGTATTTGTCGTTTTGCTGCATGTTTTCTTTGTGTATCATATAACGCTTTCAAAATATATTTGCTTTCGACATTTTTGTTAACTCTATACATGCACTTCAAAATTGAGGGAATATTGTCGGCATATTATTGTATCGTTTTGATTAAAGAGATATTAGAAACAAATGTTTAAATCGAATAAGGTAGTTGGTTGTTTAAATTTTCAAAAGTATTCGCTATGCTTACATTGTACAATTCAGCTCATCAACGCGATTTTGTTCACATAAGATTGACTAATGGTGCTTGAAAAAAAAAACAATTTAGACGATCAAATGAATTACAAAGTCGACGTACTCTCATAGCCAAAAATCCATAAAATTTTAAAAAGTTGTGCCTTTTCTGGTTTAAGTTATCTGAGTTTGGGTACTGAAACCCGTAAGTGTTCCACATAGTGTCATTACGTTATGCATTAAAATAGCACAGACTTGGCGACACAGCAGCAGACCCTTTCAAAAAAACATTCACAAACTTTAGCCGATCCGTACCGATCATCATTTTCCTACATATTAATCATGTTGATATTGAAACTATAAGATTTGAGCAAGCAGATGAAGATGTTCAAGCGTGACCTTTCTTTCAAACTAAAACTAGATTATTGGTTGGGTTTGTGTTGCTTATTCATTAGTTTTTTATGTTGTGTTTTGTGTACTGTTGTTTGTCTTTTGATCTGTTTCTTTCTTTTCCAGGGCGTTGTCAGTTTATGCTTGATTTATCGAGTTTGAATGTCCCTTTGGTATATTTTGCCTCTTTGTTATTGGTTCCTGTTCCACACGCGAAATATAAAATGTCCGTGGCATATGAGGCCAGAAAAATCGTTATTTCAAAAGGATATGTTTTTTTAAATATTACATATATGATTGCTAGATCCTTCTTCAAAATGATTGGTCAAATGCAATCGCTTTTTTTTTATATGCAAACTAGAAGTTTTTAATAGTGTACAGTTTTAATGTTTTAAAAACAACCTAATTTTTGTGGTAAGATAATTAGAACTGTATGCTGTTTTGCAAGCTTTGACCAGAATTGAAAGGTACTCACGTCTCACCACTTTATAACATTCATTGCAAGAACATGAACTGTAATGTATTTTTTCTTGCAAATTACCAGGGAGCAAACAAACACATATATCCTCCTGTCATCAAAATAAAAGAAAAATACAGCATTTTCAGTCATACTAGTATGTAAAATAAATATTTTGGGAAAAGTTCCTTATGTGAGTAAAAATGTATCTGTTATACCCCTTTTGATCAGATAGTTCTTTGCGCATTCAAAAACTGATACATCCTTGTCTTTCCAATTTTAGGTTTAGAGAATTCCCAATGCAGGTGATTCTAAAAATAGTGCTTCGGACGCAACAACTATTTAATGTTGTAGTAGTTATTTTTCTTGCTTTTATGTTATATATTTGTTCAAAATGTTTATCAGCAAAATAAATAAAAAAAAAAAAAACATAATCAAGCAAAAAAAAACGCAAATTAAAGATAATAATATTTAAAAATATACCTAAAGAAATTAAATTATTATTGGCAATTCATATAGGTACATGTATTGACTAGAAGTCACTTTGTAGTATACGAGGCTTAGAGAATTTAAGAATTATATAATCAATTATTTAACTTATCAGCTACAATGACCTTAATAGCAAAAAACTCTGTTTCACTGCAAAGATTTTGGCATTCTGTCTGATTGATGCGAGGCACACTAAATTTAGTATTACTTTTAATATCCGGTATTTTATGACAACCTGAAAAGAACAAAAAATAGTAAAATTTACTTAGCAAGCATATACAATCTTGAATTTAATTTCGTTGTAAATTGACCATCTTCCTCATCGTTTATTATTGCAAGTTGCTTTATTCCATCTCGGCTACCTTCCAAGAGTTTTTTCTAGTGAAAATGTGTCGACATAATCGAAAACTTTATACTTAGATGATTGTATATATAAAAATCAAAAACCCGTCTGTTATTCAACTTTGAATATGTTGATTTATATCGATACAACTAAAAAGTGTACACAACAAAACCAATCTTAAAAACAGGGGCGACAGTAAATATTTCGGATTACAAGTATTTTTCATCAGTATAATGTAAAAATAATCTCATCAATCTATTCTGATTATATTAAATCAATATTTTATGTATTACATATTAAAAACCGAACCACGCTTGTATAATTCTTAAACTACAAAGTAAATGCAACTTTTCTATGAACTATATTTTCCAAATGAAACTTACACCCCAGCTACGGTGAGCTGCACTGCATGATTCAATTTGACCTACACCTTTTCATTGACCCCGTTTATTGCCAACATTTGCTTATCCAGAATCTTTCCCGAGTATATCTCTTACCATAGACCAAGAAGTGTTGTGGTCTATGATGGCAATAGTTAGTCGATTAACATCTGCATTAGTGTGACCAGGGGATCTTAAATGTCGACTGCGAGGAAGGTCTGGCTTACTTTCATCCACACACTGTTTACCACATTTACACTGTAGAGTATACACACTATCTGTAGATTTGCAATAAACATTGCAAAATATGGTACATTTCGTACTAGTAGAGTGACTTAAAAGTCTGGATATTAAGTATTTGCTTGCAAGGTAGACAACGATTGTTCCTTGCAATGCTCATTGACGAAGAGCTGTATATATGCACAAAGGAAAAAGTTCAGCATCCCCAAATTTGTTTTATTGAATTGACAAATGAAACGATAAGTGACATGGTATCATTGACCAAATAATCACAAAAATACAATTGTGACATGTTAGGACATTACATTAGCTTTAAGAAAACACACCAGATATTAACAGTAATGATAATTTAATGAAAAGATTATCACAAAATCACAAGCCCATTTATAACATTAAATCATGTCCATTTAAATTATAGACCTTCTGGGTTTATACTGCCCGATAAAATTGTAATTTCACTTGGAAACATAAATTTTAAGTCACGTAACGACATCCATGGTTCAAAAATATTAATTGAAACCATTACGTTACTTGGAAGACTCCTTCAACCCAACCCTGCTTCTCATCCCTAAAGCCAATCGTTGGATTCCCTGCTGTGATAACTGTCGCAATTCCCGATGGAATGCTTCGTCCAAATGACGTTAGTTTTGTAGGGGAGGTTCGAATGCTTGTAGACGACGGCCTTACATGTTCTATCGAATTTAAATCCGGGCTCATGGCTGGCCATGGAAGAGGAGTCACGGCTTCACCTTGAACGTTGCAAGTTATGGTCCTTGAACGGTGCAACCTGGTGTTGTCATCCGTAAACACAGGTCTTTCAGCTAGTGGATGGTTTTCCAAATGGGGACAATAACTGACGGACGAACTTCTCTGTTGTACATGTTGTATTGATCACTGTTGTGTTTCCTCTTATAGTCACCAATTCAAATTTCAATAATGAAAGATGCAGTCCCATATTATTACAGAGCCTTCACCGTAAGGGATAGTTAGTTGGATGTTCCATGGGTTGTGTTGCGTATTTTTCTGTCTCCAAACTCTCATTCGTCCATCTGTTACATGCTTCAGACACCGGCTCTAGTCCGACCAATTTGATACTTTACCAGGTCCTAAAGTTTCAGCCACGTCGCGCTAAACATTATGTCAAACGCAATCGTTGATGTTGACCAGATAACATGGGACGCCTTATTACTGTCCTTGAATTCAGTACAGCTGATTTCAACCGGTTCCTCACGGTATTTGCTGATAAACGTCTATTAGCATGATTAGGTAACCATGAGCTTTTTAGAACAGGACAAGTTGCAAATGACATTCGTTTAACTAGGCAATACAATGTCCTGTGTCACGCTGCTATGTTACGGGAAGTCTACTGATTCTTAGCAAGGTTTTCAGGGGTTAGGTTTGGATATGTTTTCACACAAGCCGCCAGACTACAGTATAGTGATAGCCTTTCTGACGTCTACTGTAAATTCAGAAATTATTGTGTGCATTTATTATTGCAATTTTTCAAAAATGGACAAGAATTCGAGTAAATAATTATTGCGATTTCAGAAAAATCTACATACAGATCACTGATCTAGTTATCAAATTGCCAGTTCTTTCTACTGCGATACACAACTATATAGTCGCATTATTTGCATTAATAAAAACCTCGCAATAATTTCTAAATTTACAGTAATTGGTATTAAAGAACTTCCTGATTGACCAGATGCCGATAATTTGCTATCTTTAGGTCTCCGATATTCGTTTTCGTACCATGTTCACATAAAATAAATTTTTTTTTTTCAAAACGCCGGACTTAGATTCACAAATTTACTGGATTTGACGTGCATGATACCTCAACATCGTAATTACCGTTCACACTTGTATGATCACATCTTTGAAATGGAACAATGGTCTTGTTGACATGGTTAAAGCCAATGTTTGCATTTAAATCTGAATTCTTGGTAACATGCTATAATACTATATATCGGGGGTTTTCTTACTTTTTCTTTATGTATATATATATATATATATATATATATATATATATATATATATATATATATATATAAGTCTAAATTGAAAACAACTTCAAACCTATGATTGCGTTAGATAAAAACCGCAATTTTTATACGTGTGCATGCAAAACAAATTTTTCTTGTTAGAGGGATCTAAATACAGCACAAACAACATATATATATAGGGAGAAAGGTTGTGCTTTGGGTTACAAAGTGTGACTGCTTGAGTGAACCATCGACGAAATACACTTGACTACAAACTTTTTAACTTTAATACTTTCGTAAAATAGATCAGAAGAGTAGGCAATTAGTCCGGAATTATTTTTTGCTGCGATAAAATGCCATATATTGTCTGAATACAAAATGCATAATATAGGGTTTTTGCCACAGAAATGGCATTAAAGGTTTTGTATTTAACTGCATTTATTCTACACACTTTACCAAATATCTGTCCTGTACTAAGTCAGGAATATGACAGTTATTTTTCAGTCGTTCCGTTAGTTGAAATGGTCGAGGGTTTGGTCTTGTCAGGAGTTATGGACTGCTTCCCTTTTCAATTTACCTTGAAGTTTGGTATTTTTATTAATTAATCGTTTCCTTACGAAAGAGACCAAAACCAATGTCAAACATACGACTACTAAACGTGAAAAAAAATGATAAATAAAAACTTTCACAGCAGTATATATCAAACAAAAATTATTTTTAGCTAGTAATTTTGAGATAGAATCCGAGCAATTAACTAATGTATCTTTCCTAACAATGTTTACAGAATACTTACCCCAAGTAACTGTCCATGGAGACAATGCTTTATATTGTCCAGCCCAAACTTCAATATAGATTGAAATATTATTCAACCGTTTTTGGATATCGTCTTTATCGTTGTAGATAACCCCGTCGTTATCGTTACAGTATTTGACCGCATCTATCCAAGTTGTCTTGTCTCCATGGAAAGTTATATTATATTCTGTAAATATATAGAAAATTCAAATTGGAATGATCGGCATTGACATGTAGTTCAAACATCCTTGCGGACGCTTGGTCAAGTTGCATTACAATGTCTGTATTACTAAAGATACGACGAAGACAAATAATTCTATAAATGCATATAATAAGTCGTCATTTAATGGCATTTACTGCGATAAAAAGTCGTCTGACAGTTTTGATGTTATAGACAATAGGTAGATCTCAACATTCTGATCATTTTGGCTCTTCAGATTTCTCTATGTATAGCGGTTTCTAAGATGATAGATAAAACATGCATTTTACCACTATGATCTATTTTTAGCCTAACGGCTATTATGTTTGACAGGCGGGGTAAGCGGACACATTCTTTTTAATAGATACTCCGACGATAATTGTGAACAAGTTTTAAATACATTTGACATAGCAGTCTCAGAAGAGAAGATTTTTGTAACAATTTACAATCGACGACGGACAACGACAACTACGGACTACAAACGACGGACGTTAAATGATGAGAAAAGTTCACTTAACCCTTTAATTCAGGGAGCTAAAAATGTGTGAAAATACCTTAAAAATGCAGTCCATTCATTAATAATGATGACTTCTCGAAATTCCGTACACATACTATTGTTTCAAAAGTATAGATTGTTGCTGTGATGATTCTCGTTTTAATGATATGCAAATTTAGGGTTCATCGGATTATTGCTCTTTTTTAATTAGAAATAATTAGTAATGGAATGTCGAGTGACAACAGCGTCCAAACACCAAATGACTGTAGCGTCGTGGTAATATTGCCACAGAGCCTATGACTCATTAATCTCATTATCAAAATTGAATCTGATAATTATTATGGAAATAAACTCATCATAGATATCAGGATTAACATTTTGTACGTCTGACGAGCGTTTCGTTTACATAAGACTCATCAGTGACGCTCGAATCAAAGAAGTTAAAAAAGGCAAAAAAAGTGCGAAGTTGGATACAGTTCTTCTGTTTCTTTCTGTTTAATCCTTTCACATTTTTATCACTCGGGATGATTTTTTACATATATCTGTTATGTGTTGAAGTCTACACTATAAATTCAGAAATTATTGCGAGGTTTTTATTAATGGGATTAATGCGACTGAATGAGTATCGCAATAATAAGAACTCGCATTCTGATAACTGAAACATAGAGATGTATGCAGATTTTTTCGAAATCGTAAAAATCGCATTTATGAAACTCGCATTTTTGTCCATTCTTGAAAAATCGCAATAATAAAAAGCACACAATAATTTCTGAATTTACATTATTTCGACCTCTAGATGTCCTCCTAGCTTATTTGTAGTGTTTCAGTGCCGTCTAATTGACAAATGTCTTATATTAACTTGGTTCATTTGCTCAGAAAACAACGGTCTACGATAGTATTATATATCTCTTTTTGTTTACTTTTTGTCTTAAATATTTGTGTTAATAAAATAAAAAAAAACCTGTTACAAATGTACAGGAAGATATTTCGAAACAGGTGTAAAACCACTTATTATGATGTTTACGTGAGACCATACCCAAATAAAGTACACTACCATTTATTTGTGTCCTTTTTTTTTGAAGATATTTTTTCCTAGAAAAGGGTTTAACACACTTGGTATCAAATGAAATCTGGTGAAGTGTCACAAATTCCATCAACGAATATGCAATAGGTTTGTAATTTCTAAAGCGGCGTTTAAAAGTACAATCGAAATTATAGCAGAAAATATCCTTTATGCATTACGTGTTATTAAAGGAATGCTGAATAAAGCTTGCAAACTTTCATAAAATATATCTGAGATCTTTGTTGACGAATGGTTCAACACTACAGCAGAAACTTGAAATTGCACGAAAAAGAGGGGATAAAATAGTGAATTTACCTATACATTATAATGACAATGTGTTAATGTTAAATCAATATAGTTTTGAATTATGATATTGCTTATACCAAATGTAAACCAAAAAAATACGTTAACTGATCTTATTTAGTTAAATTAGTAAATAAATGGATGAAATCATTGTTAAATCGGAAAGGATAATCGTCCTTAATTGAGGCAAGGGTTAAGAAATGTTGGTTCTTCAATTAACTTCTCATATAAAAAAAATGTGTTTTTATTTCATTAAAACTATCATAGAAATACTCATATCAATTAATTATGTTATGTCTCAATCGAAATAATTGATGGAATTAAGACAAGATATAATAGACTTGTCGTATCTATACAAATGGACGAGTTAGTGTTAAGTGTACGGTTTACTGGTTTAATCTCTTTCGTTTAGCGGAACCCTTAACCATTACCGATCATAATCGTACCGTGTTGAACGGCAAAATCATGAGTTTCATTATTCAAAGATACTAAAATACAATACACATATTGAATAAACGTAAATAAAGAAAAGCTTTAATGATTAATAGTTAACGTATTAAAATATTCAAACAAGAACTTAAATACATTCCTATTGCTCCTAAATATCATATCAGCTTACCTTGTTCACAATTACAGAATGCTAACATCAGACTTATAGTTGTAACATATCGGGACTTCATTTCAATATTCAGATTCATTTAAAAATGTTAAATTAAGATTTAAATGAGGAAGTTTAAATGACGTATGAATGTGACCAAGTCGGTCATTCGATATCTCATAACTAAAAATTGCCTTTCAAGATGAAAAATCGGGTATCTAATTACGTCTTTCTGATGTAATGATACAGGCGTGCTATTTTTAAACAAAGCAAAGGAAATAGGAAGCAAAAACAAAATTCCAGGAAAAAGATCAGTTACAAAGTAATGTTACAAAGTAATGTTGGGTAATATTGTGGTCAGGATCGCCATTTTGTTTCATGGTCGTGTTGATGTATTGCCTTAAAGATAACAATCAGACGCTTTGTCAACAGTTGCGTCTTTTCATTCCCTGATTTATATTTTTGTAAAGTGTATTGCTTTCGTTCGCCAGTTGTAATTGCTTTTGTTAAAGGTAACTGATTAAATGCATAAAGTAAAATCACGATGACTCATTTGGCGAATACAAAATATTATTAAAAGTTGGTACCCTTTTTAAAAAAACCATTGTCGAAAAACGTAGATTGGTGTTACCACGCGTGTTGACGTTTTTTAATCTCTGAATATCATTATTGTTTAAGGAGTTATAATGGATTTTCAAAATCCTATTTTGAAATAGGGCTTACATGAGGACCACGTAATTAGTTTAAATGTCATAACAAACGATCTGTAGATTCGTATTTAAAAAATTTCCCTTTACATCAAATTACGTATATTAATCGATCGTCAACCTACACATTCCGTTGAAATACTCCGCAGCATAATTAAATAGTAAAACAATATACCTCTTTATAACAAAAGATGTTTAACCAATTACAATGATTTAAAAACGTTTAATTCTAATATCTGTGAACAGGAAAATGTGTCTGAGAAACACTTAATCAGGTCTGCTAGAGATCAAATGTAAAGAAAGCCAAATATTTAAAACACTTGATAGAGTATAAAATCAAAAGAGCCAAAACGGAATAGTTATACTGCCTTTTTGATTAAGATATAAATCAGAAGAGGAAGTTGCAGCAAACAGATCTTTTGATCAAATTATTACAATTTAAAGTCTGTCTAACTCTCCTATGATACGTTAAACTGATTGCCTATATATCACAGCATTTGAGAATAGATTTAACATAGATGGATAACCGTGACAGCTATACTATTGCGCTGAAGTGTAAGAATTGTTACCGTAATCTAAAGTTTATATTAATCTGATTTGGAAAACACTGTCGTGTCGATAGATCATATGGGTTTGTACCCAGAATACACATGTATTACGTCATACGGACATCTTTCGGTTTTAACTTTTGTAATTTTTTTAATGACGTTTGTGTACATCAGGTTTCTAATTTCATCTTTGTAAAAAATACATATGATAAATAAGATATATTTTTGTTATATATCAATATGTTGTGTCAGACTTTAGTACAAAATAAGAGTTCAGATTTGAGTCAAATGGTTTCCTGACACTCAATTAAGTATTGTTCCAACGTATTGTATGAATTGAATTACATCAGTCACGTTTAAGACACTTTAAATAAACATATACCAAAGGAAAATAAAAGCTACTGACCATTCAAAAATTAGACTGAATCCATGAGACTTTATTTTTACATGTAGCATTGCAACCTCTTTTCATTCCTAAATGTGTCTTCTGTCTTCTTGGTGGGATCTTGTGAAAAAAATCCGATGTTTCGTGGTTGGAAATTATCCCTGTCGCTGTTTGTGAAAGATACTCTACAAAATTTGTTTGGAAAAGTGTAAGTTACTTAAAATCTCTGCGAAATATACCATCTTCTTTCGAAGACCGTCTGAATGATCTTCGAATCGTTTCTGTCAATTAACTTTTAAAAATCAACTAAAAATCTGTTTTTCAAATCGTTCAAGCTTTTCGTTCAAGATTGCCAGTAATTCTATAAATCAAATGAAAATTATAAAGTATTTAGAGGTGAAGCGCAATTAAGCCAAAAAGCACAGTCAGAGTTCTCCAACAAGCTCCGGAATAATCGCACCTTGTACAGATAAGCTAAGATACCAACAAAATATGAATATGTTTGTCAACTGACATTTATTTCAAATATGAATTATCAAATTTATATTGTGCAATTACAAATGCACTAGCTACTGAAATATTCCCCCCAGTATTTGTCGACATCGGTACTGGCATTATAATACGAATATTGTTTGAGTAAAATTTGTTGTTTAGCAATTTTTAAAATTATTGTAAATTAAGGAATATATCTCACTCAAACAAAGCTCTGATTCATTCTCTGCATTCGACTATACTTTTAGTCTTTTTTGCTTTTGTTTTAACAGCTCTTAAACAGTTGCATTAGGTTTTCACTTTCAAATATTTTGGCTTCGAGCATCACTTAAGAGACATTGATTGCCGGAATGAGCATGTGCTGCAGTAAAATTGATACTGTTTATGTTGTTACAATGCAAAACTGTTTCACAAATATAGCGAGGACTGTATATATTGAACTGTAGTTACCTGTACAATTGTGTTATGTTGATTTTCTGTCTCCCGGATGTATTTGTTTTCATTCACACAATAAGTGTTAAAAAAAGATGCAATCATAAACTTGAGTATCATTTTACCCGATGTTATTGTGCATTAATAATTTGCTTCAATGCAAACTGGTTCTTTAATATATTGCGGACCGTATATTGAACTCTGGATACCTGTACAATTGTGTAATGGTGATTTTCCGTCTCGCAGATGTATTTACCTTCATTCATACAATAAGTGTAAAAATAGAAAGATGCAACCTTAAACTTGAGATAGTATCAGGTTACCCGATGTTATTGTAAATGAATAATTCTCTTCTTTAAGAATTATACAGTCGTTAATTCATCAAGTTAACAATGAGTCTTCTTGATTACGTTTTAATGATTTCTAATATAACAACAACCAGATTAAGTGAATATTATGTGGAAGGTACATATCGATTTATGTACGGTTTTCACTTTATAGAAAAGTTTATATGAGAAAAAAGACCAGTTGTGTGTTAAAATCTTATTTCTAAAATAAATGTGGATATTCATTTGCACATAAGGAATCATTTAAATAGAATCCACGGAACCGATATCCATGTGAGTAAAGGACAACTTTCATTAGCTACACACATGTTCCAGTTGTCTTAACTACAATTTCGTCCCCTTCCCCCGAATGTGACTTATCAAACAAGATATATCACTGGATTTGTACTTACTTCGCAAGACGATGGGTGCCACATGCGTAGCAGATTCTGCTTACCTCTTCCAGAGCACCTGAGATCACCCCCAATTTGTGTGGGGTTCGTGTTGCTCAGTCTGATTTTTTAGGTTGTTTTGTGTACTGTTGTTTTTCTGTTTGTCCTTTTCTTTTTTAGCCATGGTTTTGTCAGTTTTTTCTCGAGTAATGAGTTTGAAATTCACCTTGGTGTCCTTCGCCCCTCTTTTGAGACGTATATCTCGAAATGCAAAAAAAAAAAAAGAAAAAAGAATGTAATTCGTTAGACGACATGATTACAACTTAAAATAACCAAAATAGAATAGTTTAAACCGCACATGGCAACCTTAATTTTATAACAATAACATAATGTTTTAAACTAGTAATCAACAAAAGAAATGTAGTTATCATGCAATTAGGAGGAAGACTGACATCTCAAAACGGTCATAAACATAAATCATATGCAGTTGCATCGAAAACTTTTCAAGGATAGCATTTTTAAGATCAAATCCATTGCTATAGAAACTATAGTACATTACCCAATAAGTACAATATTCAAATTAATACATTAAATATCTTTATTGCAAAAAAAAAGCCCTGACATGTTAAGATGCAAACATTACATGCACATATATAAATTTGGCTATTTGTTTATTTTTATACAGTCATACAGCTGTTCAACTGTTTAGATTATTATACATATTTGGCCTTCAAATATTCGACTTTTACGTTACTGATGAAGATTAATCCAGTAAAGCGCTTCGGTCGCATAAAATTTATGACGTGTTGTTTTCATTTTTGACCATTGTAGACCTCATTTTCGAAACTCCATCAATTGCCTAATATAGCCCGTAACATTATACTAAGTACCTTTAATGGAATCTAGAATAGTTGTCTAATTTAGAGTTTGAGTCAAGCTGGCTAAAATTATGATAATGGGTTTAAATTGCAATCATAAGGGGAGTTCTAACATTATTACTGATTTGGCAATAAATAAAACAGTGTTCCTTATTATTTAAAATTTTGCAGACTTTACACATTGTATATGCTCTTGGAATTTTCTTGTATACTAGTATAAGATTATCACTTAACACTGACATGGTCGTAGTTATCATCTTTTGGTTTGGTGTTAGTTTTGAAATGATCGTATGTTGGATCAGAATCAACCACAGTCATAACATGATCATATACTTTCCCTTCACTAATCGTATCCTCCTTAAAATCGTTTAAATGATCATAATCTGGGTTTTTAGTGAATATATTAACAGCCTCTCCGCTCTTCGTTGATGTAACTAAAGAGTCTTGACTTGGTTTTATTGTTAAAACTGTTTTAATTAATGATTGTGAATTCATTTCCCTAGGAGACACTGTATTTGTATTAGTTTCTTTATTATTGAAGTGCTTCCGTACTATCTGATAATCTCTATTAGGCTTGCCATCCTTTTCAAAGATTTCTCGTGAAAGTATGGAGTCACCATTAGTTGAATTTGCTGAATCGATATATCTTGTGTTGACAACTTCCTGTGCAAAAGAGTCTTGCCGAATGATATCAATATCAGTGTAATTAGAATTGGCATGCATTGTAATCTTTGTGGAGTTGTGCTTTAGATTTGACAACCGGCTTTCACGGCTTTCACTCCCATTCTTTGTATGAAATCTGAAAACGACAGTGAACAGCATCACGATATTGGTCCATTACATGTATCAATTTTTCGTGTGTTTTTGTAGAAAATATCATTTTACAGTAGAATCTATTATGAGAATAATTTGAAATATAGTATATGTGATGGAATAACAAAAATGTCAAATTTTAGTTACTGTTTGTGATAAAGTAGGAATGAAATCCACATATTCAATTTTTATATAGATTTAATAGGATAACCAATGTTCAAAACGTTTCTTTGCATCTTGTAAAGTGTGAAGACAGAAAATGCATCATTATTGATTACATCGTTTTGCTACACATCATGTTAAGTACTAGGAGACATATTTACTTTCTCATTAGGACAAAAATTGTCATCGCACTTATTCCAATGACTAAAATTACCATCACAACAGCTAACATAATAGTATCTGAAATGTAAAAAATCCTCTATGAAATTTGAATATTAAGTTGTTGTATCGTTTGGTAACTCTGAAAGGTACCTCGGTGATAATGACAACAACTCATAGTTCTTGAATTAAAACTTAATAACGTAAATGTTAAAAGGAAAACTTATGTAATCTTAAATATTGATGCAATGTTGCTTAGATATATTCTGCAAAGATCATTTTATGTTGAATAATTAAGACTGTGTTTTGTCTGCTTAATGTTTATGGCTGATTGTTAGTTTAATATATGATATCTGTGCATTTCAACCTTTCTTCGCTCAATGTGTTTTAGAGCTACATTTGAACAATGTGGTATGGTACGCACGCTAACTTCCTACGTTATAATAAAATGGTGCATTAAACATACGTACACACCCACTTCGACAAAGTTGGCAATTGACAAGATAAGATACAGCTGACGTATCCAACTCAGCAAAAATTGTTTTTTTTTTAATTGCATACATTTAGTGTTGCGTTTCATCCGTACATAATGACGGCTGTTCTAGCAACTCGTGTCGTAAGATTCACATAGGTGTCAATCCTTTTTTTAATTGAACAGTAGATTTTTTCGAAAACGAAAACACTATATATTTCAATGTTTTCGTTTGTTTATCCCTATTTTATATTCTTTGTATACCATTGCTTGTCACCAAAGGAATGTTATATTGACTGATAAGTATTTGACAAGATAATCAAACACACGAACGCTAGTTCTTTCCTTACATGCACTGATACTGGTACTGTCTTCTTTCTTTTGCCTTTCCAATGTTGCTTAAAATAGTAGAACATATTTCAAAGTCAAAAAGGTATAATTAAAATATCAGAGTAATTTCTTTCCATTATGTATTTTTTTCATAATCAACCCACCAATTTTAAATTGAAAATTATTCAGGAGGCAGGGATATGATTCCCAACAATGGACAAGTGACAAACAGCGATACGTATGTTGTGTTTTATGCTATCGGCCATCGTGTAACGTTTTAATATTTTTACCTGATTGTTGTATTTCACTTTTCAATTTTTAAATAATATCGTTCGTTGGAGTCTTTCTATGTTTTCATATTTGATTTAATTTTTCCTAAAAATGAAAGTCCGTACTGATGTTAACCAAGATCTCATTTTGAATACCGGTACACTTATAAATAAATCGTGTGGAAATAACAAAATTGGTTACTAATCATCTTGATGCTTCATATCAGGAGAATCATACACCTATGCAATAAAAACGAATACAAAAATAGAAATAAAGAGCTAATTTTTCGTTTTCAATCACAATGGAAGTGTATTAAAATATTTCAGATTCACATGTGTTTATTGACATATTTTTTCCAAGTGAGCAGAGTCAATATCGATAAGAAACATTCAAAACTCTTCTCGGTCTTTTCATTGTATTGCTGAGAATAATATCAACTCGACGGAAAGTGGATTTTAAAGCTTTGCTATGTTTTATTTTTTTGTTTTTTACACGTCCGATTTTGGGCTACCAAAATCATACCGTTTTGAAGACCTGTTGTCACTGTAAAGTTTGAAGTATTTGATCCGTCAGTTACTTCGGTGAGACCTAAAATGAAACATGTGAAAGTTAACTCTCAAGATAAAACAATTGTTAATAGGATTTCTGTTCGTCTTTTTATGATTAGCATGGTGTTGTCTTTCTTGCATTTATTCGACCTGTGTTGTTTTTATTTTTCACCTTATCTCGTTGTTTTATTGACGACAGATTTCACATATGTCAGGAGAAAGAATCCATCAATACCACAACTTCCATTGCCAATGATCAACAAAATCATAATGGAGTCCGTAAATAGTGGAATAATTCAAATATTCAAATTAAAACACTTAGTTTTAAAGTATTTTTAGATCTTTAGCAAGGAAATCATCATAGGAATTGTCGGTCCTGGAATAGATTATTAATATAAATGTGGATACACATAAATGGAAAGCTTTACAATCAGAAACTTGAGGTCACTTCATTTTTCGTTAAATGATTTTTTTTAACTGACCACCATTGGCAATGTGTGTATGGTATTCTAGGTTTGAAATGAATTTAATTAGACTAAGTGTTGTTGTTTATCTTAATGCCTATTTCTATTTCTATTTGCTAGTCACGGTGTGAAACAGATTCTATGTGTGTTATTCTTTATCTTAATGTCAACGGACATCATTCACATAGCGGATTGTGAAGATTAAAGATAATGCATTCTACTTGATGAAGTTGGCTTCATACACACAAAAAAGGGCACAGGCCGTCTCGGGAGGTGTATGGTTGGTTCCCGTTTGAATACTGGATGGTTGCATCCTTTAAACGTGACAAATACATGTACTCAAAACATTATAAGAATAGTGACTATTTCAGTTTAGCGAAGTGTTTGTTTGTATATTATTTTTTTTTCTTCAAAAAGTATGATTTGTCACTCCAAAAATAATATGTGTATCGGCGTTTGTTACTATATCATGATTAAACAAAGTTGGACTAGTTCTCTCAGTCCATCTTTATATTTAGAGTTGGAACGAACCATTTGTATAAAGTTCGAATGGTTTTATCCTATTTCACAACTAGAAACACTGAAATTGACTTCATCATAATTATTGAATTTCTTTGATACACTTTTCTGTTTTCCTAATATTAAGAATAATATTTTTGTTTTGTAAATTGTTGCATACATGTACGACAAAAAAAAAATGCTGAGTTATACCGTTCTGTAGATGTGTTGTCCCAATAGATGTTAGAGTAGTGAAAACTTCAGTAGTTTCGAATGAACCTGAAATGTAACAAACTTGTCAGAATATAACTTGATTATTGTCTTTATGTCTATTTTCTTTTAAATCAAAAGCGTTGTCCTTCATTTTCGGCTTGCGCTTTTAAATTACTCTTGTTGGTAACTTCTCCCTTTGCATATTTTATCTATTAATAAATCAAAATCTTGCATACTTCATCCTCCTAGCGGAGTTTGGGCAGGGATTGGAACTAATTCAAATTGTAGTCGTCTGAATTGAGGGTAGATATCTCTAACGAACATTCACCAATATATCACACCTTACAGTATACTCCAAATTGATCAACTAACAAATATTTAGTTACTCGATGTAGATGTTCTATTTTACTTGTTTTTAAAACTCTTTCATTTAAATTTAATAAAGTATTTTCTACTTCAAGTATTAACAGATCAAACAAATAAAATACATTGAACATGTTGATCTAGTTTACAAATTCAGAAACCTTGTCTCGGAGTTCAGATAGTTAGTTAACAACAAATGCAAATTCAATCATCTACCAAATCAGACTTAAGACTATGAAATTAGTATTTACTGCATTTTTGCTATACTGAAACGAAATAACAGAAACAAGTCGACTTTGGATAAAACAATGTATTTGAGAAGCATGTCGTGTATTATCGTCGACTGGTTTCTTGTGTACCTAGCCGTTAAAGATTCAACGTAATGTTTTGTTTTAGAGCAATTGAGATTGTATGAAAATATTCAGTTCTGTATTAGAGAATGTGTAAGAAGTAGTGGATTCATCAACGATAATCAAAGAGCTACTTTAGTCGCAAATTGGTTATCATGTCCGAATCCACTACTTCTTATGAATTCTCTAGCTTCACATTTCATGTAAAACGACTGTCTGTTTTACGTTTTGACAATACATTAACGGAATTTCCTAAAGACAATTTGGTATTTTGTCTTTTTTATTCTATTTTATGATGAAAAAGAACACTGAAATTCCTTGTACTCTAAAAGTGACAAGTGTATGGGTATACTGAAGTTTATTTTATCAAGAAAATTGTACTGATATATACAATTACCTGATTTTATATGGTGGTAACAACTATTGTGTTATAGCTACATTCGTATAGGGGTTCAGTTCATGATTACGATGTTAAAAATTGACCAATGTTTAAACCTGACATCCGGAATAAACTCTTTTTAAAGATTTTAAAGAAAATGTTTTATTTATTTATTTTCTTGTCATTTTATATTATGTTGTTGCTATATAATTATTCTCAAGAATGTCCAAATGTAGAACATAATCTTCTTTTAAAAAAATAACACTCAAAATAAAACAAATACAAACAAATCGAAAAGAACATAAACAAACCAAGACATAATATACATTTCATAGATTACAGAAGCTAATTACCAATGAGACAGAATCCAGTTTATTGACATGTATTGACAATAAAGCGCTATAAGAGTATAATTTAAATATTGATTCATGTCAGCTCTCGTGGTATAGTAGTATCATGCATATATAGACTGAAGACTGGAATGATTTACGATGAAAATACGTGTGAGTTCAAACCCTTCATATGCAACTCATTTTTGAGAAGATAAAAGATCGTAGGTTAAAAATTAAAAGTTATAATTTAAGTTATTTTAAGTTAACAAAGTGTTCAGTGGAATCTTGAAAAATAATTTACAGTAAGAACAATAGACTGAGGCTAGAGAAATGGGTTAATATCTTGATATTGAAGAAATCACGTAAATCAATCATCGAAAAGATCGATTATTCATATTTTAGTCGGTCTTCAAATTTGGTAGCTTTCTAGGAGAGGACTATAGTTGTCAATAAAATGGAATTCTATGCGTCTTTCATACAAGCGAGAGTTTTAGCTAGCTAAAAAAACAAGATTTGATCAACTTTTTTTTCAGATAGGGAAATGCCTGTACGAAGTCAGGAATATGACAGTTGTTTTCCATTCGTTTGAGATATTTGAACTTTTGAATAATTTGTTAATGGACTTTCTGTTTTGAATTTTCCTTGGAAGTCGGTATTTTAGGGTTTAGATGTAATGAAGCTATTTCATGTATGTTACTGTCCTAAAAGAGAAATGTTGTATGTAATGCATGTCTTGATTTCATTGTTATTTATATTTGGTGCCCAATTAATTTATTCACCACGCTTTGCCCATGGATGATTTACTTTTAACTCTTTGTCGATAGATTTTTTTTGTTAAATCTACCGTTGGATTGGTGTCTCGTTCACGTTTATCTTACATGTCCTGTTAGTCCTAAATAATATGGTTGTTTATTATACATACAGACTGACCTGTTTTACAAATGAAGTGATTTTGGATACTACAATTACCAAAATTGATACCACTTCTGTTGTAGTGACCACATTTGACAATTCTGTCTTTAACAGTCTCAAACGTAACATCTGAAACATTAAATGCCATTTATTACATTATCTAAACGAATGACTTGAAAACATCTTTATTAATTACAATTGTGCACTGGTAATGGCTTATGAGAAAAAATATCTTTAACTGCGAATGTAATGTATTACGTATTCAAGAGATGATTTATAAAAGTTAGAAAAATTGTCACAAATTCAAAGTAAATCGTGTATCAACACCAATTTGCAAATATATATTATAAAATAAGGTTAAGTCATAATATGTTTAGAGTAAAAACTAAAAACAACCAACTGTTCCCAAAATTGTAATTTTAAATGTTCTAAGAAGCCAAACATATAACAAAACGAATTTATGAGCTATTTTTTGTTGTGTATATGCAGCCATAGTTATCATTATTAAATACAGAACCTTTTTAATAGATCACTAACCACTGTATTGGCAAAAGTTGTTTCGCATTCATCACACTAAGACGACTATTATATTAACTTTTCTCTTTCTACACTGAATACACGATGTTCGATTATTTCTGTGCAAAGATCATTACACATTAGCCTATCCACCTACATTCTTTTTCCAAATACATGCTTTTCAAATTAGTTGACTGAAAACAGGCTTAAGGTGGCTCACCCCAATAAGGACCTCCGATAGATTTTTTTTATTTTCACATATTTTGTAGATTTTTTTATGCTGAATCCAAAAATGCAAAGAAAAAAGGGAGTCACTAGGTTCGTTTTCCCCTCAAATGGAAGCGAAATGTGCGATTTTGACCCTGTTTCAAGCTTTTCCACCCTTACAACAATCACGACTACATCAAATTCTAAGACTTTTAGAACCATGTCAGTATGATTATTATGTGAAAAAACAATTAAATTTGAAATGTAAACGTTCCCCTTGGTTGTTTTAGACTTTAAAATCCTTTGATTTTCAGATTTATGTCTAAATTTGGCATTTTCTAATTTCAGTTTAAGGCTAAAAATATTGGTTAAATCGATTTTTCGTAAAATTTCCCCGGTAGATTTTTTTTAAAAACGGATATGTCAAAGCTATTAATTTTTCGAACATTTTAAGGTAAAATAAAATGGGGGTCACCAGGCTTTTAAAAAAGTTACGAGCTTTTGTTTAATCCCTCTACCCCATGAGGTCTGATTTCAATGCACTCCATTAATTACTTTCTTGTGAATTTTTATTGATGTCTTTAAATAAAATAATGTTTATAATTATGTCAATGAACGATAGCTGAATATAAATGTGATTAACATTTTACTGTTTGTTACAAAAAAGCGAAATTTTTATTATTTTGGTGAAATACGGTAATTTTGTCTGGCGCGAGTTGCTTCCCTGTAATTTGGCGCCATAATCGGACAACAGAAATTTCAGGGTCGCCATTGCTGAGCAGCATACTGCACTGCTAAATACGACCATGTGCATGAATAACAGACATAGTGGCTAATAGATAACCATGAAAGTAGAGTCATTACATAAGGAAACATAGATTTTAATATTTTAGACAGCCAAATGTTATCAGTATCACGAAAAATACTCGCTACTGTAGAAAATCACTGCGGTTGAAACCTTGCATGGGCTAAATTTCTGTTCTATGTATAATCGTTATGGCTGGTATCTTATTTATGTGTTTACTTGACCCTTAACCTGTTAGCTGGCAAGTTTTGAACATGCATAGCCTGTTTTGCAAAATATCGGTGTCAAACAGTCAAAGTGGAGGGGATGGTCATTTATAGCATCCACCGTTACGGCGTTAGCGTCAAATGAGTCTTGATTTTATATTGTCATTCGGAAAATCTAATTTCGTAGCCACGTTAGGGTCAAATGGAGTAAAATATTTATCGTTAACGTCTATAATGACTAGTAAAATGGTGTACTCCATAACTTCCCTCGGACAGGGGTTCATGTAGTCCAACACGATTCCCACTCCCCATCCTCTATTTCTCTTCCTTTTTACTCTAAAATTTTCTCCCCTAACTTCTACTTCCATCCTCCTTTTCCGAATATTCTTGTCTTTTCATCAAAAATCATGTTCGCTCCAATTAACGTTCATCCCTTTTACATTCGCACCCTGAGTCTGTTTGCACCCTTCCTTTAATCTAGTTCATGCTTTTGTTAGTATACTTCTATAACACAATAAAATAAAGATTTATTAAATTTATATTTATTGTTTAAAAATAAAGTGACTCGCACGAGAGCAAAGGGTTTTTTTATTTATAATCTTCATAAGATTTACTTCTACCAAATTAGTTACTTTTATTTTTACTTCAGACCAGGCTTACTAACGGACATGCACATAATACCCCCTTTTCTCGCTTCTTGATCCCTCATTCCCATGTTCCCTTACCCCTGTCCACCCGCTCATGGGGTTTGATTGTTTCGTTTGTTTTTTTGAGAATATGAATGGCCTAATTTGTAAACATTTTATTGATGGATTTGTCTTGATCACAATTTGTTTACAATTAAACCCCCTCCCCCCTCCCCGGCTCTCTTCGGTATAAAAAATTTCATAACGTCAAGTATCAGGTTTAAACATACACGTAGGGCTTATCTTGTTTACCAAATAACACATACATTTGAGTTGAAAAATTCATTATTGTTTTGTGCTTAGTATTTTTAAATACAAAATTTGTGTATCCCATATTCAAAACAAGGTACAAGACACCTCAGCATAATTTAGTTGACGAGGAGTACAAATGTAGCTCAGATGCATTTCAGAATTTTTAGGCAGAGAAATAACTTGTCCCTGGCAGCGAAACAGCATGCCCCGAAAAGTCTGTATTCAACATATAAAAACAAAATCACTATTTACACTTGCTGTGCATGTAATTTTATTTTGTTTGCTCATTATTGTTGCCACAAATTCTTCATTTTTTTACGCCGTAGCTGAGGGGGCATTAAGTTTTACCCCTGTCTGTACGTACGTCCCAAAATTGGTTTCTGTTCTCTAACTTTAGTTTGCCTCAACCAAATGTTATGAAACTTATACAAAATGCTTATTACATGTACCAACAAACACAGATCAAATTTGAATTTTTTTTGGTGGGGGTCACTTTTACTGTTATAGAACTATCCCCCTTTACAAATGGAAAAATTGCTGAATTTTTTGTTTCCATTCTCTAAATTTATGCCTCATCCAAATGTTATGAAACCTATACACATTACTTATTACAACAAAACTCAGATCAAGTAAAAAGTTGGGTAGTGTCACTCTTACCGTTCTTTAGTTATGTTCCTTTATAACTTTATATGCAAGCGGGGGCATCATCTGTGTCCCATGGACACATTCCCCATTTTATATTTAAAATATGAATTTGATTGTGCTTTTAAATGTCAATCATGGTTGATTTTCTGACAGAATTACTCTGACATTTAATTTCAGGCTTCAAGTACATGTAAGAGGAAGGAGTGATTTGTTGTGAAAGATCCTGGAATGTTCAACTTTACTTGGAAACTATTGGCAAAGTACTGACAGAATTTACAGGAGAAGCCAGTGTCATCTTGTCTTGCAATTGGGAACTATATGTAAAGTGCTGAATCTTAAGAACAACGAACATTAGCAGCCAAGATCAACAATACTTGGAACTACATGTACATGTATAATCAAAGTACTGTCAGAATCCATATGAGAGAACCCAAGATCATCTACACTTGGTGTCTATATGCAATGTGTTGTCAGAATCCACTTAAGAAGCCAAGATCAACTATAATTTGGAACTACATGCTTTAGTGCTGTCAAAATCCATAAAAAAAAAATCCAAGATCAAAAGGACCTACTTTACCTACATGTACCAATGATGAATACAGATTATTGAGTCTTATAAAAAACACTGAAGATTAATATTGATATAAAAATAATGAAAATATAGAGCTGATCAGCTAATGATTGTACATGTACATGATTTATACATGTCAACAATTACTAGTATATTGAAATTAACAATGCTAATAAATGTTTTATAAATTTGATCGCATAGACATTTGAGGAATAAAAAAAAAAATGTTTCAAAAAATGAATTTTAATAGAGCTGAATTAATTTTTAGCTCACCTGGCCCAAAGGGCCAAGTGAGCTTTTCTCATCACTTAGCGTCCGTCGTCCGTAAACTTTTACAAAAATCTTCTCCTCTGAAACTACTGGGCCAAATTTGACCCAACTTAGCCACAATCATTATTAGGGTATCTAGTTTAAAAAATGTGTCCGGTGACCCAGCCAACCAACCAAGATGGCCGCCATGGCTAAAAATAGAACGTAGGGGTAAAATGTAGATTTTGACTTATATCTCTGAAACCAAAGCAGTTAGAGCAAACCTGACATGGATAAAATTGTTTATCAGGTCAAGATCTATCTGCCCTGAAATTTTCAGATGAATCGAACAACCCGTTGTTTGTTGCTGTCCCTGAATTGGTAATTTTAAGGAAATTTTGCCATTTTTGGTTATTATCTTGAATATTATTATAGATAGAGATAAACTGTTTACAGCAATAATAATCAGCAAAGTAAGATCTACAAATAAGTCAACATGACCCTTAAGGAGTTATTGCCCTTTATAGTCAATTTTTAACCATTTTTCGTAAATTTTTGTAATTTTTTACAAAAATCTTCTCCTCTGAAACTACTAAGACAAATTTAACCAAACTTGTCCACAATCATCATTAGGGTATCTAGTTTTAAAAATGTGTCCGATGACCCCGCCCGCGAACCAAGATGGCTGACAGGGCTAAAAATAGTACATAGGGTAAAATGCAGTTTTTGGCTCATATCTCTGAAACCAAAGCATTTAGAGCAAATCTGGCAGGATAAAATTGTTCATTAGGTCAAGATCTATCTGCCCTGAAATTTTCGGACCAATCAGGCAACACATTGTTGGGTTGCTGCCCCTGAATTGGTAATTTTAAGAAAATTTTTTCAGCTTTTGGTTATTATCTTGAATATTATTATAGATAGAGATAAACTGTAAACAGCAATAATGTACAGCAAAGTAAGATCTACAAATAAGTCAACATGACCAAAATTGTCAATTGACCCCTTAAGGAGTTATTGCCCTTTATAGTCAATTTTTTACAATTTTCATAAATTTTGTAAATTTTTGTTACAAAATATTTTCCACTGTAACTACTGGGCCAAGTTCATTATAGATAGAGATAGTTGTAAGCAGCAAGAATGTTCAGTAAAGTAAGATCTACAAACACATCACCATCACCAAAACACAATTTTGTCATGATTCCATCTGTGTCCTTTGTTTAATATGCACATAGACCAAGGTGAGCGACACAGGCTCTTTAGAGCCTCTAGTTTTTTTTGCTGTCTGTAGTGAAATTTGCTGCAAACACAATTCATGATATGCAAACTGCAATATATGCAGTTGTCTTTAATACAGAAGGTAGCTATGAGATTTGTAAATTTTGGAAAACATAATACCAAGTGGCAGTTGTTGTAAATGCACATGCCTTTGCCTCATCTTTTACCTCACCAACCCCTGACCTAAATTGCAACTTGAATTATTTTACATCATTTGACATTTGTTTTCCATCCATATGCTATTCAGTTTCTACTTCAAAAGTTATATTTTCTGGATAAAAGGAGAAATAAAATACAGTTTTGTTCAATGAGACAGCAACCAAACCAAAAAACAAAAGAATTATATATTTTCTTGGAAAACTTGTGTCTCACTATTAACTGACAACATTTTTACCTACTGTAAATTCAGAAATTATTGCGTGCATTTATTATTGTTATTTTTGACGAATGGACTAAATTGCGAGTTTGATTATTGCGATTACAAAAAAAATCTGCATAAAGATCTATATTTCAGTTTTCAGAATGCAAGTTCTTATTATTGTGATATTCACCCTGTCGCATTATTTGCATTAATAAAAACCTCACAATAATTTCTAAATTTACAGTATCACAATGATCAAGATTAATATTTGTAAATTTAGATATGCACTCAAATTGATATAGATTGCTACAAAGATCTCAACCTCATTTCATGGATCAGTGATCAAGGTTAAAGTTACCTGATTTAATAGGGTTGTTTATCAGATACTGTTAGCAATAGGTCATTTGTCAATGTCATGTTTTTGTGTTTTTGTCTGTTTTTTTCTAATACTAAAAGTACATGTAGTAGATAAACTATATGTATAAGGAGTACATGTCTGTCTGGCAGTTGTCATCGACCACATTTGCAAGGTTCATTGGTCAATAGTAAGTCCTCTTTTAACATGCTACATTGTGTAATCAATAGGTTATTATATTTGGTGTATGGTATGATTATTAAATGTATATATTGAAATATTAAGTAAAAAGATGTGATATGGTTGTAAATAAGACACTCCACAAGAGACCAAATAACACAGAAATAAACAACTAAATGTCACCATACGACCTTCGACAATGAGTAAAACCTATACTGCATAGTTAGGTATAAAAGGCCTCCAAATGACAAATGTACATTTTAAAACAATTCAAATGAGCAACTAGCGGCATGATTTATGTACAAAATAATGAATGAAAAACAAATATGCCTGTCTTGCAGGGTCTATCTGAACTCAACCTCATGTTCATGGTTTTGTCTGTTACTGGCATACTATATATGTTTCAAAATATTTGGTTGCTGGGGTGATTGTAACAGAGGCGGATTTAGGGGGAGGGACCATTTGTTGATTATATAGGGAATCACTGAGGCGTGACTGGAGCAAGCCTCTCTTAGGCAGTCCCCCCTACCCCTTTCATGAAAAATTATGGTTCCGCCACTGTGTAAGGCTGGCTTGGATTGGTTTATCTGATCATTTTCATGATCATTGATAATATCAATTTTTTCTGATACTTGTAGTAAAACTTTATCTTTAGGAATATCAACATAAAACCAATCATGAATGATGATTAGTAAAGCAGGTGAGACATTTCAGCTTGTGCACTCTTGTTAACACAAAAATTATATGGACTGCTGCCACTAGAAAATGAATGGACAATGCATGCTTGGTATGGACGAAATTCCTCCTTTTTACCCTAAGAGGCTGCGTATTTATCTCGGGGGGGGGGGTCACTTCCTGTATTCAAAGTGATAGGACGTGCCGCTGGAATAGGTCACCTTTTCAAGCTTGAAAATATGTGAATAGGTTGGGAAAACTATCAAAAATATATGATAAGGTCAATAAAGTTTCCATAACTTCTTCGTCTGTCATCTTTCTTGGTGTTCCTGGTTGTGGTTTTTTTAACTAAATTTTCTCTTTTAACACTGGTATTCTAGTCTTACATTACACTACATGAAACCCAAGCATTATAGGGAAAAGGTTTCATTTTTACCTTCGCAATATATGAAAAGTTATACATTTTTGAAATTTAAATTATACGAAAAAGGTGGGCCCCAGCGGCACCCTTATCAATTAAGTATTGAAGTGCCCCCCCCCCCCCCCCCTCCGTAGTATTTATACATCCAGCTGTATGCACACCCTGTCATAGAAAGGGATTATCCGTCAGATTAGGGAAGTCATATTTCTTTACCCTACGATATGAAAATAAGGAGATGTGGTATGATTGCCAATGAGACAACTATCCACCAATATTTAAATTTAAAAGTCATCTCCATATTATCATCATAGGCCGATAATTACGTTTCTTTGCAGCTAGCAGGTGGGTCAAACCAGTGTTCACACATCATTAAAAAAGTGTTCATATATATTTCTTGCCGCAATGGCACACTGTACTTTATTTTTTTTTAAATCAAGAACTTTCCTTATTAGCGTCCCTTTTGAAAAAAACTCATGTCAAAAAGTAAGACAGAAGTTAAAGTTTGCCAATATCACCGACTAATATAGCGTCCCTGTGTACTGGGCGCAGTTTTAAAATTACAATCCCAACTTTTCCTGAACCTAGTAAGTAGTATAGATTTTGTTTATATATAATGTCTTTAACTGGTAGTGTTTGGAACTGCCCGGTAGACTGCGGATGTGTGTCCTAGGCAAAATCCCGACTTGGTCAAACCAAATATTTTGCGCTTCTCCGCAAAGCATGCGGTATTGAGGGATAATAGCATATACCGATATATAAGGTCGGAATACTAGTAAGGTCCCGGTTGCTGTTGACCAATTTTCATCTACATGATGCAAATTATTGAAGTGTCCGGTTTTTTTTTCTGCGTAAAACAAAAAATGTGTTGCTCCAGTTCCTTTAGACTATTATAATAACTCATTCTAAATCTTATTCAATTATTTTAGTTTTTACGCTGATATTTCCTCTTTTTTTTTCTTTTTTTTTTAATGCGAACTCTGTTGGCATATTGAAAGATACAACACAAAATAGAAAATTAACAAATTAACAAATATCGAAATAAGTAAAAAGAAAGTATCATAAATAGAAAATATTGGCCCCGAGGTCTCATGTTATAGGACTAGACTTCCAAAAATCATAGAATCATGATACGAGAAAATTTGTTAGATATATTTTCGTGCCCATTATTTGATAAAGTAATATATAAATATATAAATCTTTAAACAAAAATGTTATATGTGACTGTCAAGTATTTAGTCTTTGTATGAAAATTGTAATGTCCAAAATTTGTTTTGGAAAATAAAAAATACTTAACTATTATCAAAATTTTGCAGTGTTCAAATACTTCACATACTAGTACTCCGGAATTGTTATGTTCAAAAATTTTTGGCAAATAAAAAATACGCGTAACTATTATCAAAATTTTGCAGTGGGAAAATATTTCACATACTCCGGAATAAGATTCTATCAATATTTGGAAATGAAGATATTTCAAGTAAAAAAGAAATTTATGACAGTAACAAAATGTTATAATACGCCAAACGGATAAAAGTGAAAACGGTTAAAAGCTTATTAGAGCTTATGTTGACTCTATTTGTATACTTTGCCGACTCTGAAAAACGCTTATTTATCATTATTTATTTATTTATCATTTATAGCGTGTAGATGAACCCCGATGCCTTTGTACTTTAATAGCATACTATATGGATTTTACTTGTTTTTGAAAGCCCATAGGTGGATCCAGGGGGCCTGGGGTCCCGTCCCCCATTTTGTGGGGAAAATTTGGTTGATTATATAGGGAATCACTGAAGCATGACTTGAGCGGCACCCTTAGGTCAGTCAGTGGGCCCCCCTTACAAAAAGTTCTTGATCCGCCACTGAAGCCGTAAGTTGACATGCAGTTGTTTACATCGCTATCCTTTGTTTACGGTTAACGTGACGTTGCGTCATTGGCAAAATATTTTCAAATATATATATACTAATACATCTAAAAGACATCTTTTGATATATTCAACCTGTATTTAAATGAAAATAGGGTGCGTACGGATCCAAGGGGCGAACGTGTAGGGTGAGAATTTGTTTTTGGAGCGAACGCACCAGATACCGTCGTACATGTCAATATTTATATTTTCTTTTTTTTTTAATGTTATGCTTTAATATATCATGTATAATTCTGTCCTTTTTATGTGAAAAATGAACAAACCACTCTGTAGTTGTACGTATTTCATGTTTTGTAGAACGTCACAGTTTGCATGGTTTGTTGACATCGGGAAAGGGTGCTTTCATACACGCCCGCGTTCCAATGTCGTCAAAACTATTTTTGAGAAAACCCATCAAAGCGACCGTTTCCAAGGCGCTCGTCGTTAGAAACATGCGTTAAAATATGCGCATTGTTAAAGGGCCGAGCCACCTTAAGCTTTATTTCCAACACACGCCTTCTATTGCCAACCTACATGTTTAATTAAATAAAACGTTAAATACAGTAGAACATCGACTAAATTTAAAGGTTATCTGATCAAATATTTTAACAAAACAGTACCATATTGATCCATGTAATGAATATGTAATGTCTGGCTTCTTACACCAATCCAGTGCTGTGTGCTACTCTGATCTAAATCACAAATGTCTGCAGAAAACAACAGGGGAAATGTATCTTTTTGATACAAACATCCCCATAGTAAACCGTCATATGATGCATACTCAGTGGAATGGACGGCATTCTGACCATCCCCTAGATAGATAGATAGATAGATAGACAACAGTATGTGTATCTGATTGGTGATGTAAAGAAAACCGTAATCAAATTTGATCAACAACTACTTCTGACTGCTTTTCTTCTTTTGTGGAAAAAAAAGAAATTAAAAAGAAAGAACAGAGTAGTTTGTATATGTTAATTATTCAATATGTCAATGAACAATTCAACCGACCTAGATTGTTATATACCTGTTTGTGTATGGTAATGCATGTTGTAATTTGGCAAATTGTTTAATTAAATTTGATTGACAATAAGTTGGGAACGCTCTTCCGATTTTTGTTTTACTTTTTCACACGGTGATACGCATGACTAAATCCTGTAGACATAATATAATGATGGAAAAACGAAAAGCTACAGACTGCTTTTGTAGAAGTATTTTGATATATCACAAAAAAGCTCCAAAGACTATCTGAAATTAATATTATAGGTTTTCTGATTGATTTGGTCACTATACATAAAGGAAATCGGAGAGCGGAACCTTTCCGCTGAATGGATTTTATTTTGTGAACTTAAGAATTAACATTATTTACTTGATATATTTTCATTTTTTTTGTAATGACTGAAATAAAAATAAAACTATATTTATAAGAATTTAGGATTGTGTAAACATAGTTACGATTATCGCTTGTATGAATACGCTTATGGTAAATTTTTTTGTTTGCTATGTTCTGCGACACCTTATTATTTTAGTCGAAACAACATCTAAAGGTAAACATGCATACATTCTTAAACAATAGACTTGCATTTACATAACATTTTAAGTTGCAATCTCTTAAAAATATTTAAAAAAGTTAAGACCGAAAAAGAGTCAAATATCAAAGATTTTATCAACACGTGGAGTCATTAACCAATATATAAACAATTACTTGAATCAGAGACGGTTCACCAAAGGAGTGATTATCCCTGAAGCGATGAAGACATTTTGTTTATAGCATATTACATTACATATAAAGCTTGTTAGCGAACATCTTACAATCAAAGTTGGATGTGTTAATATACTTATCTAAATTATACTTACGGCACAGAGCAATATATGGTTTACTACAATAGTCTTTTTCATACCGCTGTTGAGACGAAATGCAGTCTGAATAAACACACGATTTAAGAGTATCGGTTGGAATATCAAGTTGTAAATCAGTCTCATTTAAAACTGAAAAATATCATTGATACCTTGATAAAAATAGATTTGAATTCTCAGAGTGAATACATTTGCTCCTGTCTTGAATACTTAAACAAAGAAATGAAACGAACGAATACAAGTATGTAATCTGATTAAATATAAAATCAGACGTACAATAATTACATGACTTGTCTGTGTATTTGTAATAATTTAATTTTGCTACGAAATTCTTACCCAAATATGCTTGCAACTGACAAAGTAGGTATTTTTTTACATTACTTTTGCATTTCCGTTACACATCCGGGTAAACTTATCAATCTTACAAGGTTAACAATTTAACACCTTATGGCTAGGCCACGCATTCACGGATTTGACGGATACGATCCTGCACTATTCGTGGCAATCTGTATTAGTCCGTATATTTCCGTAATGTAGCCGTATTCATACGTAGAAGTATTTGTATATCCGTGACAAATTTTGAACATGCGCAAAATTTGACCACGGATCAAACAACCGAAGTATATCCTTACCAAACCGTATTAAAACGTTCTGATCCGTTTAAGTCCCTATCAAAACCGTATAAATCCGTATTTATGCGTAGGCCCGAAGGATTTATACGGTTAGTTTGTGAGAACTACGTACAAGTACGGTTACACGACGTATTTGTTAAGGATACAATACGATTTGTTACGAGTTTGTCACTGAACGGCACGATTTCATTACGTTGCAATACGGATAGCTAGGGATCAGCCAGGGTTCTAAAAGTCTGCTACGTTACAACACGACACAATACGAAATATTACGGTCCACGACAAACTGACATTAGGCTTCTGCATAAATACTCCCTACTTATAGGGCCCAACGAAGTATGTGTCTTGCCGTAGAGGTATACATAACATTATCCAACATGAACAATCAACAACTGATACTTGTAATTAAATGTTTGGAATTGGATATTGATATTGGAAAAAATGCCAAGGAGGTGAACGAACTTCTTAATGACAGACGTAGAGGTGACCGGATGCTGAGAATATGGTGGACTAGGGACTGGCTTCTCCGAAGACCTATACATGGCCAGTATAAGACCCTCATGGCTGAATTTTGTGTGGGAAAACCAGCTGCATTTAAGAACTTTGTAAGAACAGTCCCAAATATGTTTCAAGAACTGCTACATGTCGTTGGTCCGAGGATAACAAGGAGCACCACCTGGTACAGACAGACAGATAAATCATTTATGAAACAAAACAACAAAAAAAATCATCGATTCACTGCCATAAAAAGTGTTCAATCACAAATTAATTAGAAATGATTAACGGTTTGAAAATGTGGCGGTTCGTACTATTCCGTATCAGACCGTTCTCATTCGTACTAACCCTTACTTAAAACGTAGCAAACCACTGTTTATCCGCAGTACATACGACCCGATACGTGTCGTTGCGTATTAAACCGTGTCATTTCCGTATTAAACCGTGTCCTACCGTAAGAACACGTATCGCCAAATGACCCCTTTCCTACATTACCCGTGGTAGATACGTTAAAGCCCGTAGTCATACCGTTGTGCATCCGTATCGGACTACGGAAACTGCATTTCCAGGATCATCTGTGAGATTTAATCCGAGTGGAACCGTCGAGGTGATCCTTGAATGTGGGACCTAGGCATAAAATAGATCTATGAATATAGTTTTCTTGGTATAAAGAATGATTTTGTCATCAGTAAATTTAAACCGTACTAAATATTATTGTTATACAGATATGCACATTCACGATACTACAATCTGTCAATAACTATATTTTGGCCATGTTTTTCTATGACTGTTAATGAAGTCGTTACCCGAAATCCATTGGATGTTAGCTGTACAAAAGTTTATACCGATTGATATTCTATTTAGAGAAAAAAATGATTATTTTATTATTTGTGATAAGCTTTGAATTAGTATTTGGTAACTGCGAGTAGTCCAAGAAGTGAACTTTGTGTCTTTTTTGTGGTGAGGGATGTATAAATACCCTGCCACGTCCGGTCTGTGGTTTTGTACGTGATATCGCTCTGATGAGTAAAGCCTTTTTCAACTGATTTTGATAGTTTGTTCTTATGTTTTACTGTTATACCACTGTCTAGGTAAGGGGAGGTTTAGCGCCAGCAAACATGTTTAACCCCACCGAATTCTGTATATGTTTGTCCCAAGTCAAGAGCCTGTAGTCCAAAGGTTTTTCTTTGGTTCATATCTGTCATAATTATTTTTCGTAAATTGTTCTGTTATACATTAGGCTGTTAGTTTTCTCAATTGAATTGTTTCTTATTTTTCACGTCAGGGCATTTTATACCCGAATATAATGTATGGGTTTTTTGCATTGTGAAAGGCCTCAAGGCTGCCTATACATTTTGTAGCTGCTTACATTGACTTCATCTGAACTTGGGTGGACAGTTGTATCATTGGCTATCATACCACATCTCCTTATGTTTATACATGTTGTGAATCACTGGTTAATATGAAATATAAATACATAGTTACGTTTATACGTTTTTTTAAGGATGAATGTGTTGATTAAATGAAGATAAAAGCATACTTTTATACGTAAATACAAGTTCAAAACAGTCTGTATTATTGATCAAACAACGTTTTAAGCATTCATCAGCACTTAGGCTTGGTGAGTTTACTAGTCCCTGGTCATCAAAACACACACATCGGCTTGTCTTATGTAAAATAAAAAAAAGTAGTATAAAAAATATCAATTATCAAACAACTTTTTAAGTATTCATCAGCACTTAGGCTGGTTGCGTTAACTAGGCCCTGGTCATCAAAACATCAAGACATCGGCTTGTCTTATGTAAAATAAAAAAAGTAGTATAAAAATACCGATCTCAAAGGTTGAATCAAAACAAGTGGAAGATCATTAAACCTTACAAAATCAAACGTTTAACAATACCAACCAACGGATCGAATGGAAAATAACTTTGATATTACTGACTTGGAACATGCATTTTCCAAAAGAAATAATGGGTTAAACCAAATGTTAAACCAAGATGAACCTACATTCATATAAATCGTAGACTAGCAAAGCCGCCAACAAAAATATATTTGATATTTGAGTTGATATTAAGTCTAAAAAAGGCTCCAACAAAAAGTTTTTGTAGTTGATAGTTCATACTGTATATCGAAGCGTAATGCCGTGTTACTTTACACCCCCTAATAAAGTACAAATAAAGTAAAATATGAATACAGGAGTATGCAGAATAATACAACACTCTAAAAAACCTCTTACGTCCGAATAGCACCTCTGGACCAACTTACACCAGGAACGTCCTTTTATCAAAAAAAACAAAACCCAATTATATAAAGTTGAGAATAAAATTGAGAATGGAAATGAGGAATGTGTCAAAGAGACAACAACCCGACCATAAAGCAGACAACAGCCGAAGGCCACCAATGGGTCTTCAATGCGGCGAGAAACTCCCGCACCCGGAGGCGTCCTTCAGCTGGCCCCTAAACAAATATGTATACTAGTTCAGTGATAATGGACGTCATACTTAAATCCAAATTATACACAAGAAACTAAAATTAATAATGATACAAGACTAACAAAGGCCAGAGGCTCCTGGCTTGGGACAGGCGCAAAAATGCGGCGGGGTTAAACATGTTTTTTGAGATCTCAACCCTCCCCCTATACCTCTAGCCAATGTAGAAAAACGAACGTACAACAGTACGCACAGTAAAACTCAGTTTAAGAGAAATCCAAGTCCGATGTCAGAATAGGAAACTATATATTTGTTAACTTTTTATACATTGTGACTTGGATGGAGAGTTATCTTATTGTCAATCATACCAAATCTTCTCATTTATATTGACCAAGCATGTCAACCTTATCGGTAATATTTATGCTCAGGTGCTGCTTCCATATTCAAAATATCAAAAGCATAAACCAGGGGATAAAAAAAAAAGTTTCGTAAACGAACATGTATCCTAAACAAATCCAGTATTTTGACTTTGAGGTTAAATTCGAAGTCACTTTAAGATAAGGCTGACATGAAGAATCCAATGAAAAACAGAAATAAAAAAAAAACATAATTGAAACGTAATATAAAAATAAGGAGATGTGGTTTGATTGCCAACGAGACAACTATCCACCAGACAAAAGCAATTATAGTTTACCAGACCGCCTCAGACAATGAGAAAAAACCTACATTTCATAGTCAGCTATGAAAGGCCTCGACATGACAAATGTGTAACAATTCAAACTTGAAACATAACGGCCTACTGTTTATAATACAATTTTACGTATAACAAAAATGACATACATGAACCAAAGACAATCACTGAATTACAGGCTGCTGATTTCGGATAGGTACATACCAACTATGGCAAGATTTAACACGTTTATGAGAGCCCAACCCTCTTCTAACCTAAAACAGGGCTGTTATATAGCACAACAAGAATACGAATAAACTGTAAATTTAATGCTTGCCTATGTCGGAAGTAGGGGGATGGGATTTATAATGTACTATTCTTTTTCATTGCTGGCACCTGTCAAATTAACTGCTTGTGCACTAAAATAAGATAATATACTATTAATACCAAATTTATTGAATTTTTTTTTTTTGTTTTATCTACAAAAAAATCATCTGAAGACCATTTGACAATTATGCGGAAATGTGGGGAATTAAAAAATTGAAATAAAAACAAGGAAGTTTGAAGAAAAAAGTTAAACCTATTAAATATCAATAAAATTGAAAAAAAAAATACCTAAATAGATAATCTTACATCAGAGTTAACCGCAAAATACCTCGCATGGGAACATTTAAGTTGGCATACAGCAGAATTCACTTCAATCATGCTTTTTGCAAACGTTATTTCTTCCACACTATACATCCATTTTATCCTGAAACAACCTACACAAAAAAAAATCGTAGATCTCATCCACGTGATTTAATGAAATTAAATTAAAACAACAATACATTAAAATCATTAAATTAGTTGACATAATGATTTTTAGCAACATCTGAGGCGGAATAAAGTGTATCTGATTAATCTAGAATAAGAGTTTATTTTTGAATCGTAATATTAAAGTTTGTTTATGTATCCATATAATTAAGTCTAGCCACGCTGATGTGGTGTTTATATTTCATTACAATCAATCAATTAGTGAATATTTATGGATGAGATGCATATACAAAACAATGCAAAAGAATATGACTCTGATATAATAGAATAATACAGTAAGGATATGGGGTGCATGTCCACCAATAACACCAAATAAGTACATGCACGGCAAATGATAAAAAAAAGGCAAAGGAATATCGCTTTAAAATATTGTTGTTCTTATCGTAAAGCCTTCAACACAGAGCAAAACTCTAACCTAACTGCAAGTTTAAGACGGCCTCTAGCACCATTTCAAAGGGATTAGTTTATTTTTCTGTGTGCTAATTTGTGATATTGCAAAACTGGTTTCGATTGCTTTTAGGCTGACACTAATCATAATTATGTCGTAGTATGTGGACCAGCAGTAAAGAAAATGAAATTAATGACATAGATTATTAATTGGTTATCCCAGTTAAGTTAATCAAAGCTTTTAGACACGTTTTTACGTGTTAACCACTTCTGCTATATCTGTGTGTTTATTTTGGTTTTATTAGCAATAGGTTCTGTTGAAATTGTTTTGAACGTCAATGGAAAAACACTTAAGAAGTGTATTGCATACGCTGTAGTGTTTTCCTTTGCATGTTTTATTTCACAAATAGAAAGCCTCGTCTACATGTAAATGTATGGTATATAAGTCAAGAACTCCCTTGACAGTGTTTTACGATTGACCTAAACCTGTTAAATTCTTTTTTGTTAAATGATCAGTGATTGTTTCTTTTGATAAAACGAACGTGTATCATATAAATTCACAGAGCGTAAACATAGATACATGTAAATGTACCTTAACATGAAAACAACAATAACATCACTTCCCTTTGTTTGTTTCCTTTTCGTTTTGATATGTATATGTATGGGCTTAGTGACATGAACTGATGCAATCTCTGCCCTTTCTTTCTTGCTAACTAAAGAAATTCATTCCTGTTTAAATCTGGGTTTTTTTTTCTCTTTGTTAAATTATATTCAAAGTAAAATTTGTTGATATGACTGAAAGGAGTAATACAAAGGCAAGTATGTATTATGTATGAGAGAGATACTAAACCCATTGTAAATTAGAATAAAACTTTAAAGAGGGTCTTGATGGGGTTCCTTCATTTCTTTATTGTTTCATTTTTTTACATCAATTTATCTTTTCTTTTTTTATATGGCCAATACCATCTATTCTGTAAATTTTAGCAACCGATTGTTTCTTTCCTGTTTTTGGATTGTTTCACTTTTTTTTAATTTTATTTCGGGGCCTCATACATGTATACTAACACATAGATAAATGTCCGAATATACTATATGGATCTTCTCATTGTTGAAGGTTGTACGGTAACTTATACAGACTTATTTGAACTATGGTAGATAGTTGTCTGATTGACAATCATACCACATTTTCTTATTTGTATTATGATAGTATCGTGATTCTAGAAATCTCATAAAGATACATGTATGATTTCAATACGAGTCATAACAAAAAAAAATCAGCAGCAGTTAAAAGAAAAGATTACTATCGGGACCCAATGGCATGAACAATTCTAAGGTCATATGTTAAGAAGTTTTGAAATCCTATATAAAAGGAATTCTTTCTATTCTGTTAGTAAATACACACCTAAGATTTCCATCCAGGGTAACATCGCTATGTAACTTCCACTCCAGAGACTCTGTACGTTGTTATTTTGTTGAAGGTATTTCGAAAGGACTGTTAAATTACTTTCCAGAACACATCCTCGGTTGAAACAGACTGAAACCGCCTCCTCCCAGTCTGCAATATCTTTGATTTCACTTATATCTGTAGTAGCTAGAACCAAAATAGCAATGTTTTAAATGTGAAGACAAAATATTCATTTTGCTTTGTTTGCATCACAATTCGTTGCTTGATACATTTACGAATACACAGATTTGTAATAAGTTATTCAATGTTCACTAACGTGTGTTTTAGTTGTAAACTCATTGTTATAAATTTTTTGTTTTTTGTTTTACTTTTTTCAATTAAATCTGGTCAAATTGTATGGTAAGAATGCAATGAAGTTGCAGTCTAATTGACATATACAGTACACCACATCAACTTTTATTCATACGAAATTATTCACAACTTGTATAGACTCGTGACGATGTCAAATAGCTGGACATGAACTATAGATGAATGTCAAATTTTGATAACTGTGTGTCAGTCTCAAGATACTTGTTAGCATTTTTTTCTCTCTGTGGCGGCTGTCTCATGAACACATACCTAAAATCTCTCTTCATTCAAATACATATTTTCCAAACTTTTATAGAATCGGGACGTTTTCAAAGAGCTTGACCTATAGTATAGAAACATGACTTTTAATAAAGACTGTATTTTGTACTGTATATATCGTTTTGTATTTTTAGCTTGGTTGCTGTACCATTGACGAATACTTTACATCAGATCTTATTCGCATGTTGTCTAACATAAGCAATGTGAAAGGGTTAGCATATTTATGAGAGCTTAAGAATCCTACCACTTACCAGTGAAAGTGATTGAACATCAAACTGTAAAAATCAGTTGTAAATGATTTTACTCATCACAATAATACTAAGCACAAACACAAATGACTAAATGACGAAAGACACCCATACCGATTTACTCATATCATTACTAGAAGCTACTTCAAAGCCAAACTTCAGCTATGACTTAAACCTACATTCCTAGAGAAAATATTAGTCACAACACCTTATACGAATAAAGACGTAATATGCAGTCTAGGAAAGCATGATTCTGTGCATATTGTATGATATAAAATAACATATTATAACGTTTAATACGCTGGCTCGAGTCGGTAGTGTGTCACGCTCTCTGCACTTTAAAATTCCTTGCAACAAATATTTGAGGGTACGTAGGTGACCTGTTGTAAAGTTTATTCGCTATCCAATATAATTTTTATCCTCATTTTCCAGCGGCATGGCATTCCACATTTCCCGCTTTCATCCTGGTCAATCCCGCTAACCGGACCTATCTATTGCTTGCATTGTTATTTGTTCTCGTTCTGGGCATACAAGAAATATTTGCAACTGGACGTTTAGCAACCAAAAATCAATTCTTTAGCTTTCTAAATTGCAATCAATACTTTATCAGAAGATGTAGCTTACCTTGATCACATGACAAAACCACAAGATAAACAGACACAAAAATCCGGTGAATATCCATATTCTCACTGCGTTCTGCCTCGGTAATCTGTGAAAGGAAGTTGTTTGTAACCAGTAAAATTTTAAACCATGTGAAATTTTATATTTTAATTTTCAAAAGACTTTGTTCATGTAAAGAAAATGTGTTAAAATGAGTTGTCACTTTAAAAGCAGTGGTAAACAAATACATCTCTGTATTTTCGTCCTGGTCGACCCCGTTAACCAGACCTATCTATTGTAAGTTACGGTATAAGTATTTGTTCTCGTCCTTCACATGCAGGAAATATTTGACACTGGACGTTGAGAGCATCTCCATCCAATAAATATTTATATTATGTTTATATTTCATATGATGTAGCATTTTTTTTTCATTAGTTATTACGATCACGTGATTCAAAGGGCATTAAGGGTATTCCATGTAGCTGAAGACTTGTTTTATGTTTAAGGCTGTTCGCTACTCTTGTTTTTGACTTTTTGTCAGATATTTGGAATCCTCTGGTTTTATTGTATTGCCAATTAAAATTTTCTTTTCATAATTTTGTTTCATATAGTTTAAAAAGTCATTTTTCAAAATCTTATAAAATCCTTGTAATTTTTAAAAAAGGTGCCAACGTTAAATGTATGAGAGAATATTTTCCCGCCAAATTTTCAATTGATAATATCTCAAAAAAGGACATGGACCTATAATTTTTTTCTGCTTTTTAAGTTACGTTTTTTATACACTATGAATTTATAACAGTCTTTTAAAAAGTAGTTCTTTTTTTTAAACAAAGGAACGAACATTCTTACGTTTATGGACGCTGTGTTTCTATTTATATATTTCTTAACGCTATACTTCTAAATTTAGATCCAAATATAAGCCGTTTTGGTCAAACATTTCTCTCCGCCACATAAGAACCCATTTATATAATAAAATACGTAGTTACGTAATGTATAAATTACGGATTTTCACTATATATAATGTATATGAACCTGTTAGATTATATTGACACTCGTACTTCGTCCACGGTTAATATTATCTGGATAGGTCCATATATATAACGTATTGACCTCGCCAAAAGTCCATAACTGATTATTATTAACCAGTTAAGTGATTTATGTATGAAACTGCCCCATTGTTAATAAAAGCAAAACTGGTCCATTACAGACTAACAGGGCATTAATCGGTGCCAGTTTAAATAAACAGGGCCATTATGAAATAAACAAGGCCATTGTGAAATAGAAAGGGTCATTATGAAAAAACGGGACATTATAAAAAAAAGGGCCATTATGAAAAAAATGGCCATTATGAATAATCAGGGCTATTACGGGTTTTCAGTTGCTATCATTTCAAATACATGTATGGGGGAAAAGAAACATCAAAAGCTTGAAAGTTCCCAAGAATCATGACTGATCATATTTGACCCAGTTGTTAAGTTAATGATTACATAATGAATTCCATAATGTCTTTCAATTTATTTTATTTTTAGTTTTAGAAAAATCCGGAATGAAATCTTATATGTTGTATGCCATAAATTACTTTCGATAGGACAACAATAAAACTATATTAACATATACAGGTTTATGGTGTTATTTCATCACATCACTTTAAAAGTTTCTTTTTAATATTGCATTTGATATAATTGAATATATACAATTTATCCGCCAAAAAAAATGATTTGGCTTGGTTAAATATTACACATGGACGGTTTGGTTAATAAAAGTGTTAAGAAATGGCTGTTTTTAAATTTACCGTTATTTGTTCTCGGTCAGTAATAATGGCCTCGGAGGCTTTCGTGTCCCTCGGCATTGCCTTGTGCCATTACCGGCATCCTCGACCATTATAACAGACCTTGTACATATGACAGAGCCATCATGAAAACACTCATTGAATAATACTATAATATTATATATCAAACAAATAAGTATAAAAATTAGTCCTATATATACGTTATTAAATAAGTCGATGTTTCAAAGCTCACAGTCTTTTTTTCTTGCATTTTAATGTTATATATGCTTGTACATATAAATGAAACAACAATCATTAAACGAAAATATTTGCAACATTTGGACATTTAACTATTTGTTAGGTTTAACAAAGAAAAGGAAATTATTGGAAAAAAATAATACAATATAAGTTTAAGTCTTCTACATTTTCTGAAATCCCAATTAGTATATTCATATCGTTCATTTTCAAACTTTGGTCATTTAACAAGATATAATATACTGTTTTTATTTTGTTTTTGTGTGTTTATGTGAAATGTAGTACTATACTTACATTAACAGATATCCTTTACTTGTAAGTATATATAGTTATTGTCGATAGTTGATGCATTTATGATGAAGATTGAACGTAAATATCACATATAAGTACATGTTCATCAAACCGTATCTTGTAATATGCAGTCAAATGCTATATATTCAAATTAGTATATCCATAGAAGTAAAAATGTCATTGGGGCAATAAAATATAAGAAGTAAGTCTTATTTAATCAAATTAATACCTTTGATTGTGTACATAGCATATATCTGTGTGGGCTATATCAAGGCTATCGAGAATACCATGGTAGTATCATATTAACAAGAACTCCAACGAAAAATTATCAAATTCACATCCCCACTGTTTTTCCCCAGAAAATAAAAGGTTCAGACTTTTTGTCAAGTACGTGATAACTCCTGTGTAGGGTATCCGTAATGCCGCCTTCGCTTGTTCCGTTAACGGAAGTCTCTCTTATCACGTTATGTGATAGCGGATGTCTTATCTACACGAACCTATCAATGTAAACATGTCATGAAATAAAAGCTCCTTCATAAAACGAGTTCATAATGTAAGAAATATTAGATATTCTGAAATATCATTTTCACTGTATTTTTTACGATTAAAATTGATTGTAACTAAAATTGAAATGTTCATGACTTGCCCTTCAGATTTTTTGTGAAAAGTCGCAAGGTTTTCTCGTCTTACTTTTTGCTTGTTTCAACGCAGCAAACTCCGTAGAAACTAATTTATTTACCATTTTGTGACGTGGTCTATTTAATGTTATTTCCTTGACAAATAAGTACACATCCGGTTATTACGGTATATTCCGTAATTACGATCAATCACGAGGTCCCCCCTCAAAAAACCATGCAACGATATGACATGTCGAGTTAATTAAAAGATACTTCAAGATTTTTCGGCATCGTATTATTATAAATACACGTTTGAATTCAGGTTTTTTGAGTTCCTGTCGATATAAGACTCTGAACGTCCATGCTGGTACATACTTAAAGATATCAAAAATTAAATAAAATTAAGTTTGATTATCTGTGGGTATATATCACGGACGATAAAAGATAAAAAAGAAAAGTAATTTAAATCAACCACCAATGTTTAAAATTTGTGTATTTAAGATAACATCGAAATTAGAGAAAATCAAAATTTTCGATTGTGTTTGTGCTGCTCAGTCTTTAAATTAGTTTTTTATGTGTTGTATAACATACCTTTGTATGTCTATTCGTCGCTCTTCGTATATATATATACCATGGCGTCGTCAGCTTGTCCTCGACTTATGAGTTGGCATACTTCGTAAGTACAGATCTTCCGCCTATCTTATTTAAATATGATCGTGATATAACATTGATGTTTTAAAATTCTCACGTACTTGTTAACATATGTATACAAAAAGAAAAAGAACAAAGAAATGTATACCATAATTATACATCAATTATGTAATAGAGATAAGGTATGTTTTACACTGTATTTCATCAAATGCAACTACACATAGGCTTAATTGATCAATAAACAGTTAATGGTTAGTAATTTTATTGCAACGTTTTATAATTTAAGAGGTTGACAATCCGTTATTATCTACTTGCAATCAATATTGAATGCAACTGGTATATTCTATAGTTTTATAGTTATATGTATGTCTGCATTCTCTCCGTTTATCATATTAAAGTAACTGAACTTTTAGTTTAAAGATGTCTGACTTACATAAATGTACGTGGGGTCCTGGATTTTCTACTTCGTGATTTATTTGGACTTTCAATTTTTTTGATTCGAGTCTTTTGTAGACGAAACGCGCGTCTGGCGTACAAACATATAAGTCTCGCATATTCTATGTGTTTTTTGTAGACGAAAGTGGTAAAAATGCGATTATTGCTCTTTTGTGTGCTTCAATCCACGAAGGCGGTTTTTTAACGACAATCGTGTTTGTCCTGCATGGCCTAATAACATTGATGCGTACTTTTTTTCGGTGTCCTCATGTTTCCCCATCTTGAAAAGTTTTCTCTGAAATTACCAGGTCTCCATCTAAATAAGTTTGAGAACTATTGTTTCAATTATGAAACCCACATAGATACAATCCGGTATTTCAAATTATTGCTTTTCGCTTTTCTTGTACCACTCTTTAAAGCTCTTATCTCGGATTATGACGTCATTAATGTTGACCTTGTCCTAATAACACTGACACGGACACCGACGTGAGAACTTACGTAATTTTTATGCGACCCGAAATTATCATGTTCTCGTAATATTGTAAAACTCACTCGACAAAAAATTTCATATTTTTAGTCACAGTTGCTATTTTTTAGTATACACTAGAACACACCCGCAACATCGCGGGTCCGTGACTGAATTAAAGTACCTAAGCCTTATTTGCAGCTTTGAGTTTTATATTTGTATTGTCATTTGAAAAAATCATGCTGATTACAAAGTGCACAATTTTGTCTGCTTTCAAAACCAATCTGTTTGAATCCGTCCTGATTTTCTTACTATAACACATGTATAACCAAAAACTATTTGTAGATATATTTTTTGGTCTTGAATTTTATAGTGTCAATTCCTGTTTAATGACGAAGTTCATGTTATGACCCGTTAATATAGAAAATCCCAAATTCACCGTTGGGTGGTGCGCCTGGCAGAGGCGGAACGTACGGAGATTAGTTAACTGGTAACATGTACTATTGGTATCGGTATCGGATTCGACCCGGAACTTCTTAATTATGTGGACAACAAAAGGGCCTGGAATGGTATAGTTTTTAATCAACACCATTGTCCTATATTAGTTTAGTTATATATGCAGTTGAATTCTTTTATTTGTGCTGTTTACGTCATGTCGGCTCACAAATTGGACCTCGTTATTTTAAGTAGTATTGATATGCAGAAACCTGATCATCGGTTCATATCCGGTATTTATTCCTGACTGGGTAAACGTATTGATACTTTGGATTGCAAGAGCTGGGTTGAATCGTGTTTAACAGAGGTTTTGCATAATATTCGAAAAGCCAGATGGATTTTTTAATTAAAACATCCCGCAAAACCGAATGTCGAAATGACTTCAGCGGTATTGGTTTTGAAACAGATACCCAACACTTGTTAAGTAACACAGTCATTTCTAATGTGGCTCTGAATTTAAAATCTGGCGAAAAAAACGTGTTTCTGAGAGCAATATTTGTAAGGGTACATTACACCATACATAATGGAAACATGTAATTTGTATTTTTCTTAAAATACCTTTACGCATTTATTCCAAGACACACGTTATTATTATGAAGTCATACACTGTTAAAATAGAAAATCAAACAAAACATCGAACAAACAATATTTACATAAAAGTTTTAAGACAGTTTTTACAGAAAGCAAAAAAAAAAAATCACACTTAAATAAAAGTTAACGTTAAAAAGAAGACTTCAATAATTTGTTTTAATGGGCTAGTCTCATTTATCCCGAATAAGATAGGGAAACGAATACCTCTTTCGATATATTATTTGTTTTGTGTTTTGAACTTCATGATTCATTCAATACATTTAAAGTCATTCTGTGCATTTCTTTGACACATACTTCCGTCACCAGTAACAGATTTGACTATAGTAAAGCTTCAAGGGGATGTAATTGACTGATTATACTTTAAAATTACAAATAGAAACAACAAGTGCTATTTTGAATAATGTGTTAAAACATGGTGCATTCAATGTGTGGGGGCGAGTACATGTACAATATATAAATTTGATTTCTTTTCTGCTTTGTGGAAAATATGAATAGAGGAAGATCACATAAAAACTGTAGAAACTGTAAATTTGTATGTTAAGAGCAAGAACATAATAAAGTGGAAATGAGTTAGGATATAGGACAAAGGAATATCTACTAATCAATAAAACACAAAAACTAAAATATAAGCAAAAAGGAGAGTCCATCCTTCATTTAATTTTATTCATACCAATAATACCATGTAAGATGTATGTAAATGACAAACGACATTAACAATAAAAATCAGCTATAGCAGTTCAGATCGATTTATACCAATGTAAACTTTGTTCATACAAATTCATTATGCATTCAGCCTGTACCATTTTTACAAAATAAAAATACTTTTTTTTACATAATATCATAGGGTTTATTGCATGACTATTGGTGAATATTTATGATTTCGATATTGCATGAGCTTGGGAATGCATTTTCATTCTACGAAGGATAATATTTACCAATATTCATGCAATTACTTTTATATTGTATTGCAAAGAATGACAGACTGTTTAAAACATTTTTTTTTGCCACTGTTGACGTCGATGATTTGAAACTGTATATGCACTAATGCAATATTTTACACCTGTTGATGGTAATATCATTTTTGCTGTCCTTAAGACATCAACTTTTGTTTGAGGCAAAGCTGAAGTCAATAGTTAGTATTCAAGGGACAACAAACTTGCTATTACATTCATAACCAGTCACCAAGTGTTTTATTATACCAAACAAAACGACTTTCTAAAAAGTCTACATACACTACCTTGAAGAAAGTCACACAAACATACACGAGATGAGCTATACGTTTTGTTTTGCCCTTGTGTTGTACATGCATTTGTAAATATTTTATTTACAGTAACCAATACCTGAAATCTTTCTGTAAACATTCACGTGCATATGATAAACGCAATATAAACTACATTTCCGCAATGACAGATTATGAAGACGACGACAGACCCATACCATACATTTGTTCTGTTTTAGCTCTTAAAAGATGTTGCGTAGATTTATTTTCTATTTTATATGTTTCTGATAATAATACATACATATGAAATTACGACGAGTTTACGATATTTTAGAGCATAGCGTTGCCAAGCGCCAAAATCCAAGCAGAATAGTCAACATGGTCAATGATGGCATTGTTTGAGATTGTTGTCCAATAAAAAAATTAGTATGACAAGGTTGTCTGGCAAATAGTCTATGGAATGATATAGCACAAATGATGTCCTTCTTTTTTATATAGAAAAACATCCTGAGGTATAATAACATATAAATTATCACGCTATATTTCCGTTGAGTCCTAGTCAAAATCTTGCGTTGCTTTACAATAGAAATGAAACATAATTCCAAATACTGTAACGTACAGATCACTTTTGGATGCTGAAATGATCATAATTGCTAAGTTCTTCTCTCGAAATTATGTTATTAGAGTGGTTATAAGTAGGATCAAGGTCGACTGCATCTGCTGTATTAACTGTGATATTACAGGCCAATGTATAAGTTTTCATTTTGCTTCCCTCAAGTTCCGATGCGCTTTCATTTTGGCGTTTTGTTTGAATTTGTCTTTTGTCCTTCTCGTTTAATTTATCGTAAACACCGGATATTGCCCTAACATGTGTTGCTTCTTTATCTTCGGCCCTATTACTATCATCAGATATTGCAACTGCTAAACAATAGTCCCCATTTGATATATCAATGTCATGATATTGATCTTCTTGAACATTTTCTGTTGCATAATAGTTCATTTCAGACGTGCGTTTTCCATTACCCACTGTTTGGGATAGTAATTGTTTTCTTAGATGTATCCTACAATGAAATAAAATATATCGGGATCAGTAGGATAGACATGAATCACAGTGATACTGGTTTCTGTGTGCTAGACACGTGTTTCCAGAATGACTTTTACTATGTGCGATCGACACCAAATGTTTAGTAGTATAACAGAAATCAATTTGCAAAATAATTAAAGGAATTTCAGATCTGATGCTGATTTGCTTGAGAGAATTGCAACCTTAGTTCTGTATAAATGAAATAATTATTAACCAAAAATACAAACGACATCATTTAAATTGTGTATGCCCATAACGTTTGATATTCTAAAACTTTAAATTTGTTTTGTTTTAAAAGTTTTGAATGTTATTCTAGTGTCGTGAATACAGAAATCGATATTATAATATTTAAATATTTTTTTCTTTTCCGTGCATCATGCCGTTTCTTGTCATTTTAATAACTATGTGTTTAATTAAGGTGTTGACTCCTTACCTAATCAGAATCACGGAATACTTACTTCCTGTAAACGAGAGCCAGTATTACAACAACTATCAGCATTACAACCGTCAGTGAAATAGTAACTCCAGCGATCATACCTGAAATTGGAAAACATCTTCGTTGCGATGAATATTCCTAACTGATATACACCTATCAACTTTCGGGCAGCACTTGTGAAAATAAAAAATGCTTTTTGCACTACATGTGTAGTAATCATTTTTTTTTATGATGAAATTAGTTCAAAGTATTCATTATATCGTTCTCATGTGATATCTTCCGTTCCAAATACGTATTTATTCTTAAACACGATGTTTAGTTGTTTTAAAAAAAGAAACAGATATAAAGACAATCAAAAGAAAAAATACGATTCATTATCGAATAAAGGCTTAACCAGAATTTTTCAGTAGACGACTGTTTTCTGTATGTTATTTTGTAAGTGGGAGAATGCATTACTCCTTAACCTTTTCGTTCATATAGGTAAACACAACGTTATTGAAATATTTGCCGAAGAAAATTTACAATTCATGCGTGATTATCCTGCAAGCCAACGCTTTTTTATAAGATTAAAACATTGGTTTAATTCAAATAATATAGTTTTTAAAATGTTTATTAAATTATAGGTTACATATATTACGTATTCCATACCGGAGGTACTCTCTTCTGTGTCAGTTGCATTATTAACTACAAAATAAAGTTATCAACACATATTTGTATTCAAAACGTATTTAGACCAATTAATTTTTACAATGGAATAGAAAATTAAAAAAACACACTATATATTATTATACTACAAATGGCAAAAAGTCATTTGTTGCATATATATAGTCTGTGTTTTTGTTAGATATTTTTCTGCTTTGTACCGCTCTGATGCGTTAAGCCCATTTCGGCTGATTTTGAATGTTCTTATGTTGTGCTGGGTTAGGGTTAGGGGAGGTTTGAACGCTCACAAACACGTTTAACCCCGCCACATTATGTATGTGCGTATCCAAAGCCAGTAGGCTGTAGTTCAGTTGTTGTCTATAAATTAAGCTGTTAATTTTCTCAATTGAATTGTTTCATTTTTTTCTTGCCAGATCATTTTATAGCCGACTATACGGTATGGGTTTTTCTCATTGTTGAAGGCTGTACGGTTGCCTATAACTACAAACCAAAAATAGTCTAAAATAGCCTATATCTGTACTCGACTGTACTGATTTTCACTCAACCAGTCTGAATTTGTCTGAAATTTACTTGATATTACTCGATTGAGTCTGAACCATGCTTAACAGTCTGAACTTATTCTCGACCTTTACGCGACCAGTACTTAACCATTTTATAAGTGTCTGAACCATTCTCGACCAAGTCTGAACCATGCTCGACCTAGTCTGAACCATACTCGACCTAGTCTGAACCATACTCGACCAAGTCTTAACCAACCTAGACCTATTCTGTATCAATCTATTGTATGTTATCAATTTAGGAACTATTTTTTAGTTATTTCTCTTAATTGGCTATAAATTTGAACAATAATTTGACAACCAAAATTATTTAATATAGCATTGAAACCAAAATTTCACAATATACATTATATAATCGTCAATACCTTATTCATCATACATATCACCTCTAAAATAAAAAATAAAAACAAGATGATCAAAGGAAATGATTTCTGGTCCGATTAAAAAAAAATATAATGTAATAAATTTTGAGTTTTCAGTTAAATGAATTTGTATATACATGATCATGTTCACATTGACGACGACGATGGATGCCAAGATCTCACACTGACACCTCTGTCAAGATGAGCTAAAAATAAACGAACGAATAACTAAATCATTATTGTATTTGTTATGCTGTTTTAAACTACAATGTACGATTGAAGATTTAGTTATACCATATATGTGTGTTATTGCACCATTTCGCGTTTTATATATGAATTGGTTTTTCATGGCTACATTACATAAAATACGTTTACCTGAAGTGATAAAAGTTGTCTCAGACTTAATATTATTTGTCATTAACTGCAAAGTAGGATGCAGTCACTTATAATATAATAATTTCTGTGACTGCATCCTACATTAATTTGTAAGATCCTCTACGATAGATAATTCAGCTGACCTGTACTATTCCATCTTCATGCCTTATATATCATGTACTGTGTTACGACGCTAGATAAAAACTGACGAGGAAAGATAACGCCCGGCCTCCGAAAGCTTGATTTTGTCGAGCCTAGGTGGTCGAGTGGTCTAGCGTGCCGGGCATAATGCAAGGCGATTTATTACCACGATATCTCAGTAGCATGAGTTCGAATCCCGGCCAGGGAAGAACATATATACAGATATATATATAGTGTTATTTTTATTTAACTTGTATGCCTCTGATTCAAAATACAAAATACGAAAAATGAACTTCACATTGGCATTATTCGTATTATTATACTGTTGTCGGATTCCCATCGACAGTGTTCTTAGGTAATGTCGATAGTTAATTAGATGGCATCCAGTCAGGAATATACATCAATTGATGATACTTTATAACGATGCCGGACATTATGTATAGTATGTTTAAAAATATTTCGCCAACAAAAAGTTGGTTAGTTTCCATTTTTGAGACATTGTTTAGCTGCATAGCAAATGAAAGAGCTTTGCTTATATAAATTTCCTGATCATTTGGTCAGATTTGTACGTTTGTTGTAAGCGAGGAAGCGCTTACAATACCGGACGGACGGTTGGACATCTAGTATTTATATGTCCTCTTCAAAGTTTTGCGCCGATGAACAAAATATCTTACAGTGTGCGAAAGATTTAGACCATGAATTGTTTCTAACCAACATATGGTTAGAAATATTTCTGATATTGATAAAACATTGTTAAAACAAACCTCCTAGTAAACAGAAAGAATCATAGTCATCACAGCAGTTATTGTGCTGTTTACAAGCTGTATTACAGTGACATTGGTGACTTTTGTCATATGGATGGTCACACCTACCGACACACAATTCTGCAATAGCAATAAATATGGAGCGTCTATGATATAACAAATGTAGAGCGTATTGAGTAAGTATTGTTAGCAAATTCAAATCTTAAATCAAAACAGGGTACATACATCTTTTTTTGAATGTTCAAATAATAATTCAGCAAGTTTGTATTAAAGTATTAGTACAATCACACAATTTATAAAATTCATTTCAAAAGATGTAACACAGGGACGCCTTCAAAATATTATAGCTCCATATATGATATAACGCAATGATGTGCACATTTGTGGGTGTACATAGAAAATATTAGTATAAGATTCAGTTCTTTTCTAATACTAGCCATTGACGGATATTCCTCATATACACTTTTAACTTTTCAGTAATGTGTGAGCCTAAAAATAAAAGGGTTAGCAGTGTTTCTTTGATTGATTAAAAAAACATAAACACACCTTTTGGACAGGAATCGTTATAATCAATACAACAGTCTTCGTGCGTATTACAAGCTGTGTTACACTGACAAGGGAGTTTATCGTCATAGAATTGTCCACACCTACCTAAACAAGATTCTAAAATAAAAGAAAATATTTTGAAACTAGAAGTAATTACAAAATAATAGCAATGCCTTGAAAATAAATTCAAAAAAGGCATAAAGGCGTACGGACATCGTTTTTTTTAATTAGTTGATAGAACCACAAAATCTATAAAATAAATTGAAAAATATGTCATTAAGTATTAACATATATATATTTCTAAACAACTTTACGACAGACATTCTTCAACGGATATTTCGTGATTATACAGGGCTAAAACTATCAATTTAGATCATCATTGCTCTCTAGCTTAGTACATGTTAGTACTTTATTTGGCCATTTTTAGATTTTGTGATTTGAGCGTGACTGATAAGCCATTTGTAAACGAAACGCCTGTCTTGGGTATACAATCTCAATCCTGGTATTTATGAGGAATATTTATATATATACAGCGTTAATTGCAAGAAGATGGTGTACCTTTTCAATTCAGATATGTTTCCTTCGTCGTAAAAGATGATAATGTAATGTATAATTCAGGCGCATACACTACAAAGCTCTATTATTATATGATTTGCATATCAGGAAATACGTTTATATGATTGGTCGAGAAGGTTGTCGTTAGTGGCTCTTGAAGTTATTTATTTTTCGATAGACGACGATGACAGATACTTTTTGTAACAAATGTAAACAAAATGGCGGCGATAATAACACAAACCGGCTCAACGTTAAACATATTTATTTTCACTTCGCGTTCATTCTTAAATTAAACAAAAAACACAAAACATTCGTTTGGTGGTACCACAGTTTTGTAGCCGATAGTTTTATTAGATAGCAAATTTCAATGAGTATATTTTTTTGCGTTAAACAAAAAAATATATACACGTTTCAGACCAATTCAATGAGACAAATATACAATTAACATGTGATAGAGGTTACGAGTGGGGAAATTAAATACCTTATCTCCAATGTTAAAGACTTATAAGAATTTGACGCTTTTTTAAAGGAATGTGTTGGTGTATAAACTGGACTAAGTCACTCACAAACATTTCATAAAAGTCCTTCGGACTTTTAATTGTGTGTAAGTGATTTGTGATTTTCGGGTTCTCGGAACTCTTTGATTTGTTGCATGTTTGATTTTGTCTTTTAATTTAAAAGTGCTTTAATTGATAAAGCATGTAAAAAATTCTTTTTAAATTTGTATTATTTTGATTATAAGACTGATTCGTATTATTTCATGTGGTCTTTTCTCCGTTTATGTTTTGTTAAACATGCTAGAATTAGCAACTTTGAAATAGATTCAAACATTTGAATATGTCACGGAGTTCTTCCTAGGCACTGGTTTTATAAAACACAATTTCGTATATACATATTTATTATATACAAATTCATCACTTTATTATTTTCTGTTTGGTATTAAATTAATAATTAAGATCCATTTTGTTACATTTGGTGATCCGTTTATTTGGCAATCGCCATGGCAGTCAGCAGGGTTTAAGAACATTCGTTGTTCGACCTGCTAGTCAAATGCGTTTTGTTAAAATATACTTTTTCACATTTTATGTCTTTTGGAAAATGTTGTTTGTGCTGTATTTAGACCCCTCTGCTAAGAAATTTGTTTTGCATGCACACGTATACAATTTTATCCAACGCAATCATATGTTTTATCGTTGTTTTCAATTTAGACTTGTTTATATTTTTTTGTTTGGTCTTGTATTATATTTGCCTTCGGGTTTATATAATCCGTTCATCCTATTTCGAATCCTTAAAATTCAAGAGTCAATCCTAAATTGAGGTAAATAATATGGCCTTCCAAATACCGTTTCGATTCCTAACATCACTGAAGAGACATCAATTGTCGAAATCCGGTTATGGTGTACCAATTTTTGCACCTCATGTTTGAGAATTACCATCTTTTCTGCTAGTTTAATTTTTTCTGTTTGGTAAAAAATTGATAATTAGGATCCATTTTGTTACATCAGGTGTTTGGTTTATTTGGCAATCGCCATGGCAGTCAGCAGGGTTTAAGAACATCCGTTGTTAGACCTGCTAGTCTAATGCGTTTTGTTACTATATACGTTTCACTTTTTTGGTCTTTTTGAAAACGTTGTTTGTGCTGTATTTAGACTGCTCTACCAACAAATTCACAAGTCTTAATTGAACACAACGTTCAAACCTATGATTGCGTTGGATAAAAACCGTACTTTTCTACGTGTGCATGCAAAACAAAGTTCTTGGTAGAGGGGTCTAAATACAGCACAAACAACATTTTCCAAAAGACAAAATGAGTGAAAAAGTATATTTTAACAAAACGCATTTGACTAGCAGATCGAACAACTGATGTTCTTAAACCCTGCTGACTGCCATTGGCGATTCCAAAAAAAACGGATCACAAGATGTAACAAAATAAATCTTATCATAAATGTATTACCAAACAGAAAACAATAAACTTGCGGAAAAGATGGTATTCCGCAAACATGAGGTGCAAACATTTGTATATATTAATAGTATATATAGTTCATAGGTTTGAACGTTGTTTTCAATTTCGACGTTTTAATAGTATATATATATATATATACTATTAATACATGGTTATAGAGAAACACGTCTATTATCTACAACTATTCATGCTCTACTCTCTCGCATGTCAACATTCTCAAACTTTTGTCATCCTTCGACAGCCGCCTTCAACACTTTCTCACCCACATCAAAGTATCATTCACTCATGACCACACAACTATAGGGACAGAATATAAACAAACAAGGTAGTGAAATATATGGCTTGTAATGAGAAGTGATTAAAATTAAAACACAGTTGCATCATACATTAAATGTAACAGTCATTCAGACTGTCTGCTACAGATCACCAAAACAATTAACCTAGAATTATTTAAAAACTATGACCTTATCAATTTACTATCGTCATTAACAACTAATTACAAATAAAGATACAATTTATGAAATTATGGTTCCATAACAAATAAATAATCATTAGGTTATACGAAAAAAAAAGTGACTTCTAAATGCATAACACGATGTGTGTAATATGTGTAATGTGTTCTTACCTTTTCCACCTTTCGCATAAATGCACAACAATGGACTCAAAATAAAATATTCAAATTTCATGTTTACTTATCCTTTCGTGGCAGGTTTTTCACTGAAAAAGGAGGTTATTTCTGTATAATAAAGAAAATGATAAATATTTAGATGTCTTTTTTAGTGTATTACCAATCATGTTTGTCTATTTCACTTGCAAAAAACAAAAAAAAAAGAAAGATAATCGTGTTATAAAAATTCTGGTTGTACACATGTAGTTGTGCCTCATAGTCTTCACAGCAGTTATTGTATTACTCAAAGTAATGTAAAAGTGTGATTAACATCTTAAAAACGTCACCGTTCCGTCTTGCACGCACTTGCATCAAGATGAGATTGTGTATTCCATGTTTAATCCTTTGCGATTTTAAAGAACAGAACATTTGCTTTGTGTTTGCATTTGCACGAAGTGATTTTACTTCATGAACTGATACACCATATCCTTTTCCCATTATATTAATACAGTTAGTATCGTGTGTTGTACAGTATCGTTTGATAACCGTTTTACGTCCTTTATATATATATATATATAATTCGTCTAAACAACAGCTGAACAATGTTAGATCTGTAAATTTGCGGAAGCAAATTTTTTGTTCTTCCCTGGCCGGGATTCGAACTCATGCTACTGAGATATCATGGCACCAAATCGCCTTGCACTATGCCCGACGCGCTATACCACTCGACCACCTAGGTTCTATAATAATAAAGCTTTCGGTAGCCGGGTGTTGCCTTTCCTCGTAAGTATTTATCTAGCGTCGTAACACAGTACATGATATATAAGGCATGAAAATGGAATTGTTACAGATCAGCTGAATTATCTATTGTAAAGGATCCTACAAATTAATGTAAGATGCAGTCACAGAAATAATTATATTATAAGTACGTCTGAACCAGTGACGACTCTACAACAGATTGTATCCCTCGGATCACCAGCAGTGACGGTGATACAAGGCTGAAAATACATTATGTATATATAATTCGTCTAAACAACAGCCCAACAATGTTACATCTGTAAATTTGAGGAATAAAATTTTTGTTCTTCCCTGGCCGGGATTCGAACTCATGCTACCGAAATATTATGACACCAAATCGCCTTGCACTATGCCCGACGCGCTAGACCACTCGACCACCTAGGTTCTATAATAATAAAGCTTTCGGTGGCCGGGTATTACCTTTCCTCGTCAGATATATATATAATGCGTCAATGTTTTTTTGTTTTTTTTTAAAGTTATGGCATATATTATTGGGATAAAATGTTTTATGTGAACTATATCTTGCTCTTGCTTTCTGTCAGTTGGTGATTGATATGCAGTTCTTCTGAACTATTGCCCTAATGATACGTAATTTACCTATCCGGAGCAACTGAGATCACGAACGGTTTTTGATGGGGTTCGTGTTGCTCAGTCTTCAGTGTTTTGTGTTGTGTTTTGTAAACTGTTGTTTGTCTTTGAGTCTTTAGTTTCTTTAAAGTTATATAATAATCACATGTACATTGATGTGCCACGTAGATGTCGTACTGTGTATGTAATGTTATTTATTTTCACTATACAACGAAATTTGGCTATTTATGAGGTTTATTCGTGGTTCTCCAAGGTTAGACAAATTTACTTCATGTTTATCCAACAAGTGTACAAAGTTTATGGATGCTGATGGCTTTATATTTATAAACCTTGTTGTCGGCAAGGTATCGTATGACCTGCATATATCTGATGTTTAATATGATTTATAATTAATATATAATAAAGCGTATTATAGTTTTGTGTTATTTTTTTTTTTAACGAGTGTATAACTATAAGAGATTTAGTGTGATCGACAATGAGACAACTATCCACCAGAGACAAAAGGACGAGTATGTTAACATCCGAAGTGCTCTTGACAATGAAAAAATTCAATGCCGTATAGTATAAGCAATAAAAAACCCTTGTATGCGAAAATGTGATATACTAATAAGAGAAAAGCAACAGCCTGATTGATGACAAAACAACGAACGAAAAAGAAATAAGGCTGACAAATAACAACAACTACAACTAAATTGCAAAATCTTGGCACAGGGAATGAACTTTATTAATGTTAACGGTTGAACTTGTTTGTGTGCTCTCTCTAACCAAGGACAGTGGTGTTAAAGTACAACATAACCTCAAACTGTAAAGGCTCGTCCGACAAGATAAAACACCGTTTTAATTTTAGTTTGCTAAATCATTTGATTGACGCCAGCAGACACTTTTTGTAGTTGATGATATATTGACAAAGACTTTATATATAAGTTTTTGAAGATGAAAGTACACACTGTAATAATCAGTTAAAGAAAAAGAAAGATACATGTAATGCATGATCGTATTAAACAAGTAATTGACTACAAAGAACATTAATTTGCAAAAAAAAAAAAAAAAAAAACACGAAAGAGTTCAACTTTCTTAGATCAAACTGTTCAAAAAGAAAATGTCACATATATAAATGAGGAGCTAAATGATAAAAAGTGAACAAACTTGGCAGATTGACCTAATTATGGCAATATTGCTGTAGACATTGCAACCATTATATTTGATAAAATCATGTAATAATATTAACTGATTGTGGTAAACGACGACACACGAGCTACTTAGTAGTCGCCAGCTCGGAGATTTTTCAAAAACGTATCGATCCAGTAATGAAAACTTAATTTGTATTGAAATTTGAATCTTGATTATATCTTTCTTGTAAAGGAAAGTTGAAATGTGTCATAAAATACTTTAAATGATAATGTTAAACACTTCAAAATCAATCATAAATAGTTTATTACTTACTCTATGATCTACAGAAACTGATATTATTTCCTGTCTTAAATGATGGCGTTTGTGACTTATCAAAGGTAAATTAGTTTGTCAACATCCGTTTGTAGTTTCGTACTGAAAATGAGTTCAATAGGCAAAGACCTTGCGTGTTTATTAAAGTTGAAAAATACGTTTAAATGTTATTACACAGTAATTCAATGCGGAATGTTTGTGTATTTTTATTTCAAATTTACGACATATTTAGATAGTAATTTGAAACCGTATATCGAAATCAAAAGAGACAATTCATGACTTAATGAATATTAATTTAAGCATTGATAATTCATGTAATTGTAATAGTTTGTTTAACGCGAACAGAAAAAGGAATAAATCACGACTACATCATGGAAACCAAAACAAAGTGAACAACGGATTGACACCAAAAAATCTCCTTTTCCTTTATCAAAAAAGATGATTAAATATCAAGAAGACAACATGATATTCAAGTTTACTGATTTTATCATCTAAACGGGTTTTATGTTGTATTTTAAACAGTTACAGTGAGTGGACGAATTACCTATGTATTTACAACCTCTACGGTAGACAACAAAGGCAATAATTTCAGTGATAATTATATACTAGATATTGAGACATTTTCGCAAGACATGATTTTTTGATGACATTGTAAAACATTTAGGTATACTAAGGAGCATTTTTCGAAATGTTGACTAAATGTGTAAGATACTTAAGTACTCAGCTGGAAGTATAAAAAATACATAAGAAAATCACAGCAAAGAGATCCCCCGATAGCGTTGTTATTCTTTAAATTCATCTACTTAACTGTTACTGCATTTCTGTCTCTGACCTGTACATGTTTGTTATCATTATTGAATAGATTTGATTTAATGGACTTATATCGCTAAGTGAACATAGTTTAATATTTATTTTTTTATTTATCATCAATCAAATATTACTTTTGGACATTACAATAGCCATATTTGCTATTTTCCTTCTTTTGAGACAATGGTTTTGGAGTGTTCGTTTGTCGGGCCAAGATCTAATACGTGTGAAGCATGCAATTGATTATAAGTGTTTGTGCTTTATATATATATCTTTATTAGCATTATCTAACTGTTCATAGTCCGAAGTAACTGTATAATAATCCATTCCTGTTGATTCATCGACTGATTCATATTTGCTATTTTCCTCTCTTGAAATCATGGTGTTAGAGTGTTCGTTAGTCGGGTCCAGGTCAACTGCATGTGTAACATGCAATTGATCATAAGCGTTCGTGGTTTTATCTTTCTTAGCAATATCCAGCTGTTCGTATTCCGACGTAACTGCAAAATTATCTACTTCATGTGCGGCACGATCTCCCATGCCAACTGTACTCAACGATCTAAATTCTTTTGGATGTAGCCTAAAAGAAAATAATAATGACTTAAACAGGTAACCATATCCACAATTCCAGAATCTTCTTGGATCTAAAGTGCCTGATTTGCAATAGGCGCACACAATACTAGGACTATACTTAAGGAATTAATTAAATCATGATACAAATCTGAACTTTTCATGCTATTATGAATAATAATGGAGCAACATATATAAACGTTTTCTATTTTTGAAAATATGTTTCATTTAAACTTCTTTAAGTATTTGTCGTAAGTTATGATATGTATGCTATCGATTTCTGTGACGCTATCGCGTGTTTCTGGAAGAAACCTCTTCAAACAAAATAGGTAGAAAAACAAACCGCATGATAGCAAAAAACAGCCGAGGCGAAATTTTGCTCGAGAGATTTGCAATTTTGGTGTTCGCATAATTTCATAATCATCACCTGGACATTAACAGACAATATACCTTTCCGATATTGATAACCTCAATTTTTTTTATTGTTCCTGGATTGATAAATGTCTGGTATCCCACGTACCTATGATATATGTTTTTATTCCTTTTGAAGAAGTCGTGACATTTGATATAAATTGCATGTCCAGATCTGTTTAGATAACTGTGTGGCCAAATTGTTAACTGGTCTGATTCACAGGAATGCTTACCTCCTGAACATGAATACTAGTATCACAGCTATTATTAGTATAACCACAGTTATTGATATCACTATTCCAACTATCATTTCTGAAAAGATAAAAGATAACTTTTCCCAATTGCGATGTACATGGGGTATTCTTCTAACCTTTAAAATATTATAAATTGTTTATTTTTTTAAGAATTTGTCTTGGTGATGCTAGTTTATTTTGATCTTCATTTTATTTTAACGTTTAGAACAGATCTATGACTACATTCTCTGCTTTATTTGTGCACAATTTGTCTACAAAAGTAACTAAAAAGCGCCTGACATTTTGTCATTTTATAAGACACTAGTCCATTTAAGAGTGTCTGCTGACCTGTTTACTTTCAACAAGTGACACTAGTTGAGTATAATTCGCTTACCCTTCCGAATATTCCGGAACACCGGAATTGATCTCCTGTTTTTGTTGTATTTTTTGTGGAAGACATTTTGCTCAATCTTTCAGTTTCTGTCAAGTGTGTTTTGGACTGTTGTTTTTAGTTTGTTTTTGTTTTTTTCGTTCTCCTTTTTTCCCATAGATTTCGCTGTTTCAATTGACAAACACATCAGTGCGTGCTTGCATTACTCATATGACCAAGCGAACTTGAAAATGAAAATGCTACTGAAACGAGAAAACTACTCTGTATTTAGAAATTGTTCCTGATATTGATACATATATGAAAAAGTCGATCTTTGATTGACCGTTGTGGAACATTTACATGTATGCCAGAGATGAGCACGGATATGTTCTACCATGATGTCCGTCTTCTCTTTGTCGATTGAAACATCACCACATGTAACTTATCACCGACGTTTTACTTCCAATGTTTGCAATAGTGAAGTAGGAATTGCTAACCCCTCTGAAACAACTGGTTTTTTTTGGTGGTGTTCTTGTAACTTAATCTCTCTTTTTCTGGTCATGGTTTTGTCTGTTTTAATGGACTAAATTATCAGTGAGTGCTTGCATCTAATATATCCAACCGAGCTTGAAATTGAGGATGATACTGAAACTAAACTGCCTTCTTCTTACCTGAACATTTTCTCTAATATTAAAACAGATTGAAGACGTTTACCTGACGTGATTAAAGTTGTATCTGAGCTTATATAATTTGTAGTGCTTAATTCATCCACTGCAAAGAAAACAAAGTTGATTTAAGTAGATACAATTGTTTTTTGTTTGTTGCATTAAAATTGCTTAAAATTATCTTTGAATTAAAATTTATAAATTTACAAAGTTGATATTGAAACACTAAGGTTCAATCCTTATCGGGCAAACTTGACCTTTGGTGAATGCGTCTATTTTTGGTAGATGCCTTTTGGTCATTAAGCAGCTCACGTATTCACGATTAGATACATCATTTGGTTGGCTTTCAACATTTTGTGCACGAGCGTTCCTGATTAGGGTAAATGAGGAAAAGCGCTTCAGAAACATCACATGTAAAAAGTGTTTTTTTTTTTTTGTTTTTTTTTTAAACTGTTATGCCTAAGATTCAAAATGCAAAATATGGAAAATGAACTTCACATTCGCAATAAACATATTATCATATAACGTTGTCGGATTCCCATCAACAGTGTTCTTGGACGATTTGATAGTCAATTAGATGGCGTCTTGTCAAAAATTTACATAAAACTTGTGATATTTTCTAACGATTACAGAAATTATTCATAGTATCTTCATAAATGTTTAACAAAAAAAAACAGTTAGTTTGTTCCCATTGTTGAGATATTCTTTAACAGCAGAGCAAAGAAAAGAGCTTTTTCTAATATAGATTTTATGAAAAATTTGTAGGTGTGAAAGCTCTTACAAGACCAGACAGACAGTGTTTCTACTGATATTTCTATGTTCTCCTCAACGCGTTGCTGTGGTGAACAAGATATATTTGTAAACAGAAATCCTAGTAAACAGAAAGCATCAAAGTCTTAACAACAGTTATTGTACGTCTTATAAGCTGTGTTACATTGACATCGGAGTCTTTTGTCATACGGTTGGTCATACCTACCCACATAAACTTCTACAATAAAAGTAAAATTGAAAGTCTGTGATATAACAAAATGTAGATGGTTAAAACGGGGCACATACATCTCTGGTTGAATGTTAAAAAAATAATTCAACAAGTTGGTATTGTATTATGAGAAACACTTATGAACCACATCAACAAACGACAACCTCTGAACATCAGGTTCCTGATTTAGGACAGGTGCAAACAAATGCAGCTCTTTTTTAAGGCGAAAACCTTCACCCAACCTGAAACAATAGTATAACATCACAACATAGAAAGACACACTATAAAATATCAATTGAAATGGCTTAACTCAATCAAAAGACATATTAACAAGAACAAGTGAACATAGACTGAACGAATACATTTAATCTATGACACAATGTAAATACAAAATTAATAAAACAAGGGGGTTAGATGTAACACAATATCAGAGAGACAATCATAACCTTGGACAATATACCGACAAAGAAAATAATGTACACGGGTAAATGAAAATAATTTTGTAGTAAGGTACAATGGAGTACGAAAATATATATTACAAAATAATTAATTTTGTTGTTCATAGTACGAGAACAGAAGTGAAAAAATTATCGTCATACCAAACACTTATCAAAGGTGCAAACTTGAAGTAGAGGGTACTACCGAAACTAGAATGTTTTTGTAGCATACTTACTGCCCCATCTTACGGCGTTTACATATCTCAATTGTTACATAGTGCACGTTTATATTACTTTGGCGATGGTTTGACACACACCCTGGTCACATTTTTTTTTTTAGATGTTTAGATGCCAGAAAAGTCCTTTCATCTACTGATTTTGCCCTGTTTCATATTGAGATACTTTTACTAAATTTCTATTCGCATGCCAAGTGATTGATGGATGCTTTACCATGTCGACGCGCTGGTATATGTTTTATGTCCATGCCATTCCCTCAGTTTTGATCTCTTTTCACCTTGATCTGTACACTCAGAATGAATGTACTAGCTTCGATCATCAGTAATCTACTGTTGCCTCTAATGACTGCCTTTATAATGCCTCTCCATCCAAGGAGTTAACGGAGCTTTATGTATCTCAAAATTAATAAGAAAA